TTTCATTAACTTACTCTTTAACTTCTGGTGTTTCCTGATGGCAGCAAGCCTTGGCCAGCAGCTGTTTCATTCCTCCTGTTCTTCTCACCTTGTCTCTTGGTTCCCAGGATGTCTTGCATGGCTGCACACAGAACAACACAGCTTTTCTGGTCTAGAAATATTATTTAACATAGTTGCCTTTGTACTAAATAATTGCACTGTTTGCAGAGTGATCCAGCAATTTGGTGTCTATATATGGCATATAAACACATCCTCTTGTCTTTCCCAGCGGAGAGAGTAACCAATAACCTGAAGGAGCTGGCCCAGCAAGTGACTCCCGGTGACATTGTCAGTACCTACGGCATCCGCAAAGCAATGGGAATCTCCGTCCCTCTGCCTGAGACAGAGGACAGCTGGGTAGATTTGACAGAGGGTGAGTATATGAAAACATCTTGTAGCATCTGTTCAGCTGGAACAAAACCACATCTGCAAATCCTTAGACTGGCTTATGGTAAAACTTTGCAGTAGTGTGGTTCCAATTTTCAGTTCTTCTCTCCTTTTTAAATTCTGTTTTAAATGGAAAGTTGCCTTTGGTCTCAGTCCAAATTGAATCTTTTGTGTGTATGGAACTTTGGTTCAGCTACATGGTTACTTTACAGTCCATCTTACAGCGCTGCCAGATTTTAAATCTCAGTAATACATTTAATTTTAGTTTTTCCATTTTGCTTGAGGTTGCAAGAGAAGAGTTAAAATTCCTCACTTGCTAAAATGAGAACATCGTGATTTCTTCTTCTCCAGGCTTTTGGCTGTGCACTCCTTTTGCTTAGTTTGGCCAGCTGTCATGCTTTGGAACCTGACAGTGTGAGTTCAGCTCACCCTATCCAGCCAAAAGTAGTGGCTGTTTTTGCTGGATTAGGGAGTCTGGTCAGTGGAATCAGTGCCAGACCCTATCCTTCCCCATTTATAACATGCACAGCAAAAGAGCACCCAGAGTTAGGGTAGGGCAGGAAGAATTTCCTCTCACAAAACATAATTCACATAACAAATTTACTCAATCTGTGGTTTATGAAAGTTTTCATTAAATAACATATTAACTGAAAGAGCAGAATTAATTCAGGAACTCATTCTTATTTCTAAGGAAACTGCTCAAGAAATTTCAATTTCAAAATTATTGAGCCTTTTCTTTTCCATAACATTACACAGAGGCTTTGTAACAGAACCAAATGAAACTCAGGATTTTCTGGGACTGTTGAAGAGCAAACACCTAACTGCATAAAAAGCAAATGAGCTGAGGCATGATCTGCTGTAAATGCATGTCTTCACTTGAGCATTCTGTGGTCAGTGACCTGCTATCTGTTGTCAACTTTCAGACTTTGAAGAGCCTAAAAAGACCATCACTGTTCCTGAAAACGAGTGTGGTGCAGTTACAAGCTGAAGATTCTGTTCAGCTTACAGTTGTTTGTTTGATTCTGTTTAAGAACCAGGTAAACGTCCTTCAGGTGCATTCACCACGTGTGTTTATTGTGTGTTAAACTACTTTTGTTTATTAAATTTTGGAGCTGATGGCTTTTGAAGGGTTTGTATTAGTTACTTCTGCTATGTAAATGCACTAAATTATTCTTTTTGCATTCTCTAATGTTTTTTAGCTCCTCTATCACATTTAAGTTTTCCTAAATTACCAAGTGTCTGGAAACGTCAAAGCATATTGACAATGTGCCTATGTATGGTGCAGGGACTCAACCAAAAGTTTCTAGAAGCAATGTATAGACTTGTCTCTGAGTCTGGTTAGTGCAAACATCATTAGTGTCTGCAAATCCCCCTTTTTAAAATTACTGTGCAACTCTCATAGACATGAGGAAGAGAAATAAACTTTTTATACAAAACTAGTGCAGTGTGATGAATTAACAAAAGCTCAGCTTTGTGATACTTTGAATGTGGATTAATCTCCTCTTAGATACAGTAAGCTGTGTACTTACAGTATCCTAAAACTGGAGGGCAAGCTCAGACCTGTGATCAAAAGTGAGACTAACACTTACTGTTAGCAAGTACAAGTACCCCATGGATGTGGTACAGTCATCTCTGAGACAGGCAGGCAGTTCTTACTGTTATGCCTGGGTAATGGTTCTAGGCCTGTTGATCAGAAAGCCTTCTCACAGCCCTGTTCACCAGAGGTGCAGAGCAGCAGCCCAGCTCTCAGGCACAGAGCTCCAGCATTGCCTGGGTACAGGTGCAGCCAGTGGCACACCCAAGTGGGCTTTCCCTGTGCTCCCCATTGCTCTCACACCATCACACAGTGCTGCACATGTGGCTTCTACCATAGGTGTCCTTAATTGTTTCTGAATGTTGCTTTTTTTAATCCCTGATTCCAGTATAAGCCTGGAGTCAAGAGGAATGAGCTGTAGGGTTCCAGCCATTGCTGATGTGTGCAGTGGCAGGGAACTGAACTAAGAGGTAACTTACATTATTGAGTATTGTGAATTCCACCCTTTCCCCTCAGTCTTCTGGCCAACATCAGCCTTGCTTCCTTCCTCCCTTCCTTCCTCTCTGAAAATGCTGCAGAAAGATTCGTTTTTAAACTTTCACAATTACTAAAATATATTGCAAAATTGTTAACTGTCAGCCTGGGTTTTTCTCCAGTAGTTTCAATTGTCCCAGAAGACTTAATAGTCACCACTGGAATTTTTTCAGTTCTAGGTAATGGCAGCTGAATTATTACCCCAGGAAATGAATTCTTCTATGACTATTTAAATCATTTTCATGCTACAAGATAAAGACAAGATTCAGGGCAAATGTGCCAGCTAGGCTCCTTCCCTAGCATCTCATTGCCCATCACTCACCTTTTAGATGGTGCAGGAGGTGGCTGCCACTGACAGAAGTATTTCTCATCAGCTGTTGAACACGTGGATGTCACTCTAAGCATTTTCTACTGGCAACATTTTTTAGAAAGATAAATACTGAGTTTAGTTTATCAGTAAAAACATTTTCACTAAGTGTGCAGCACTATAAAAAACATACCTCCTTTTCACTGGTATCTCCATAAAAATAATTGCAAAACCAGACATGTTTCAATAAGCTTTTTATTTCATAGTAAAAACAAAAGTTTGTTCTTTAAACCAGATTCCTAGTTCCAGATGTTATTAGCTCTTCAAATTAGATACAGTGCCATTTTTTCCACTTAAGAAAAAAAAAATAATGCTGCAAGGAAGATTTTTCCACCACGATTGTTTCTTCAATGTTAAGTTTCACAGTTCAATCTCAGGACTGCTGAAAACAATTATTTCAATACAGTTGCTTGTTAAGTTGAACTTTTTCTATGGTTGAATATAGCTCTCATATTATACAGTTCCAATTCTGGTGAGAAATTAGTCATCCTCTTTTTCATTACACACAGTTTCTAACTTCTCCAGGAAGGTTGTGCACAGCACACCAAGTGAGCATTCTTTTTAAACCTGCAACCAAACCCAACTCCTTCCCCTTTGGAAGCTGCAGCTCTTCCTGCCACTTCTGCAAATGAGGTTGAGCTGAAGTTTCCCCCAAATAAGTTACCAGCCTGACAGGCAACATCATGTAAACAAAAGCATTTCCAAATGCTGTTACAGACAGCAAATGTTCTTTCATAGATAACACATCTACAGTCTACTAGGTCTGAGAACAGGAGCACTTCAGAGCCAGCTCTATTTATAGGCATAATGCACTTTTCAAAATAGATACATGAGACAAATGGTCACTTGACCTGACATGACATCAAGGACTGCTGAAAGGAGCCTTTGACACATGCATGGTCCTGTAAAACAATAAATACCTCTAAAGAAATGCTTGCTAAACACCTGTAACTATAAATACACAACATACAAGAGTAGTAAAAGCTGTTTGAAGGTTTATTCAGCTACAACACTGACTTGCACTAACACAACAGTGAGTATGTCACTTCTTTCTTCAGCAGAGCCCATGCCTGAACTCACAACCTCAAATTCAGGTTTTCTTACATGCTGTTTTCTGTTGGAGACCTACTACACACATAGATTTGATCTACAAAACTGACAAAGACGACACATATGATTTTTAATCCACAGCTGGACAATATTTAGGTTTGTTCCTGTCTTGAAATATAGTCCCTTCCTCTTCTAAAGAAATAACACAGTAATTAGAAAGCAGCAGTGAAGCACAGGACTGCTGAAACACTTGTGCAGGATGGGTTGGTGCTAAACCCAGAAGCATTAGGAAGTGCTGTTTGTAGAGGAGTAAGGCTCAACCAGGCAGGTGTTGTACTCCCCAGTCACTGTGCTGTCCAGCCCTAACCTGGTGTATGGGGAAAGGGGGAGCCCATCCTTGGTAAGGGACATAGCAGGGCACAAGGTGTCAGCCTTACAAACTCCTGTCATCTCCATCAACAGCAAACAGATTTGGAGATTGCAGTAAGTAAAAAATGCCAATGTAGAAATTAGCAAAGGACACTAACAGCTTAAAAACCTTACAAACTAAACTAATTTACACAATGATCTTATGAATGCTCTACTCATACTTCCAGTACTGGGGCTCTGCTGAAACATTTCATTATGAACACATTTTTTCCATACATCCTTTTGTAACCTTCAAAACCAGTTTATGAAAAAAACTGCACTGCCTTTGAAAGGCGTAGAAACCAGCCAGTGGCTGGTCAAATCATAGAAATAAGAACAGGAAAAAAAGCAAACCCCACCACAGATACAGTTCTGTTTATACAGTATCTGCTACTGTTTCTAATACTATTTTAGTAATTCTGTTCTTCAGCTTCCCAGCAATTCAGAACAGTTGTTTTTTTTCTTCTCTAAGTGCCCTCAAGAACACAGCATAGAATCAGAATTCCTGCTGGAATCAGCAACAGCAGCTGCTGTCAGAGCCTGATCCCTGTGCTCCTCACCATCAGCTGTACTTTTTGAAATTTAAAGTAAAAAATTAAAGATTTACCATGACAGAACAAAATGTACATACAGACACTAATTACAGAGAAATACAAAGGAGAACATGTGATATAATGTAAACACACTCAACTAGATTAAAGTTATTTCTGATCAGCTCTTGGTCATGAAAACATTTGCATAACACAAGGTACTGCAGTGAAGGAGGCAGGGTGGTGAAGTGACCCCACACTGAGCAATTCAGGTTTTTTCCCAAAAGCTCAGCACAGTTATCATGTGACACTTGAGCTTCCTTGCATTCCTCTTCCCATTACTCAGCTGTCTTGTGCTGTGCAGTGTGTTCAGCATTAAAAGTAGGACAGCAGTGCCCTCAGTATCAGCACACACATCAGGACAAACACAATACTGGAAGCAGGTGTGTGTCAAGCAGGCAATGGAATGTTTTAACACGGGAATGAGTTCTACAGTGCATCCACACTGGTTGCCACCGGAGCTGTTAACACTCCCAGTGCAGGTAAGGAAAGCAACTAACTGAAAATGCCTCATGGCAATTCCAGGTAAATCCTCAAAATTACTTCAGGAAAGTGTAGTCTTTTTCAGACTGATGGTTGTGTATCTTCTAGGAACTTCTCAGAATTCTTCTTTATTAAAAAAAAAAAATTCTCTCATCTTGAGATGTAGAAGAGATAGGAACAGTATATACATGTTTTTAGAATAAAGTCCTTCGCATAAGGAGGGAAATTCTACGTCTTCACAGAAGGGAGGCAGATCTAAGTCTATTTTGATTAACTTCATTGTAGCCTCAGTTCAGTCCCATGCCTTGGAATTTGGCTGTCTCAGTGCAAACAAAGTAAGTCCTCAGTTCTCCCTTGCCTTTGACATTAATGAGTCCCCTACATTCACATGAGTATCCCAGCTCCTGTAGTATTTTGCTTGTTTCTTCGGTGACCTTTGTGTGAAAAGAATTAGAAACTCTTGTGAAATTCTTCTGATTATTCACATTAAAGCAAAATTCCACAACCAATTAGAACTAATGCCTTGGACATTGCAAGGCTCATAGTTTTACCTGGATCTTGCCAAGCTCCCCTGTGGTCTCCATTCTGCTCGCAACATTAACAGTGTTGCCCCAAATGTCATACTGAGGCTTCCGGGCACCAATCACACCAGCAATCACAGGGCCATGGTTGATCCCTGCAGAAACACAGGCAGGTGTCATTACTGAGGTAGAAATGGATGTGATTGTGTTAGCTGTAGCTTCAGGGGAAAAAACATCCCAAAGCTTAACTCTGCAACACTGAGTTGCAACACTGCAAACTCTGATTTCTAGCAATCAGTATTAGTGCTGTTCTATGTAAGTATTCATACTGAGGCTCAGGAAATGTGAAGTGACTCACTCATTGCAAAATAGGAAGTCTAGGGCACAAAGCAAAATTCTTGCTCTTCTACTTTTAATATACAGAAATGAGCATTGTAATGACAATGCTGTCTTTAGTCAACAGTCACTAACTCCATTTCCTCCAAAGTCACCCAGCTGCACTCTTCCTGCTGCTCCCTCCAGTGATAAGAAAAAGCCCATCCATGGAGGAGCTTGGCCTGTCTGAACAGCTGACCAGACAATATTGCCTTTGGCTATTCAGCACTTGGACCTACCTCATCCTGCCCTTTCTCACCTGCCTGAGCTGTGGAGTCACACCCCACAAACAGAACTCACCCACACGGAGGCGGAAGTTGTTGAAGGAATGTCGGTTGATGCCATCCAGTTTGCTCATCAGGGCAATCCCATACTCCACCATAATCCCAATGTGAGCGTGCTGCCTTTCCCTATCCTGTGCAAGTCATGACACAGATTAATTAGAACCAAATTACAACATGAAAGGCTGTGTCAGGCTGCTACTCCAAAGCAGTACTAGAGTGACTGGAGTGTTTATAAGGATGAGATCACTCATCCTTGTCAATGCAGAATTTTAAAAACTCCATTAAATACAGTTGGGATGCTTATGAGGCAACAAGCCTGAGATGATTAAATTTTCTAACAAATTATTCTCTGTCCTTTAGGGTTTCACCTTTAATTTTACATATTTTGGGTATATTATTATATGCATCTTAATGTCATACACAAACCTGCTATACTGAAAATGAGCCAGAGAAATTGGTATTAATTCTTCTGGGTAACAGACCTAATGTGGCACTTGGGGATTCTCTTTCTGTGCCAGTTCTCAGGTATCACAAAAAGCTACTGTCCAGCTCTGAGATGGCCTTTTCTTTGGCTCCCACACTTTGACTCCCTTATTATTAGAGCCCTTCTCTTATGCATCTAGGAATGTTAAACTACTGGAATCAAAGATGAAAGATGTAAAAGGTATGCTGGGATTACAGACTGAAAACCTTAATTCAGAAATAAAATAGAACTAGGAGATAAATAGTGAACTCAACAGGAGACAATATAATTTTGTCACCTTTTTCCACATTTCACAAAGTCACTGGTCATGATTTACTTTTGCATAGCATGTTACATTTTGTTACTTTGAACACACCTTTGCACCCACAGAATTCTGAAGGCAGATTCAGAGCCAACATACCTGGTTGTTCTCCTGGCCTGGTGTAACACTGAGACCAGCTGCTGCCATGTAAGTACTTCCAATTGTTTTTATTTTTTCAACACCACTAAATTTAGGTTTTAACAAGAGCTGTTTGAATGGAAAGAAAACAAACACTTGAGACTTTAATACCTCATTTCACTGTAGTATTTAACCACAAATCTTATACTGTCCACCATAAGCATTAAACATCTCTAGCAATACTATCACTCACATGAAGATTAGATAAAATACTGAGGATTAGTTTCACAGTTTTGCTCTACCCACTCACAGGAGAAATGAAAGCACTGAAGTACTGAAATAAAGTCCCTAAAGTCAGGACTCTCAAACCATACTTCTAATAGATTAGATGATGTACTTGAAAATCCCAACCAGATGAGAAAATATCTTTCAAGGTTGCAAGGCTGAAGTCAGAATATTAGTACAGCATAAAAATGGTTTTTCCCCCTCTAATGCTCACAGATCTAGTGAAACATTCATTTTGCACTAAATATGTAATCCAGTGCTTTTATGACAGAAGCTTAATTACCTCATCAAAATCAGCAATGATTTCATTTAACAGCCTCAAGCATTCCAAGCCTTCTTTGTTGACATCACATTCAGTGTAAAACACCTTAAAATCTGGTACTGATGCAAACATGACACAGACACAGTCGTAGGATTGATGGTACCAGTCCTAAAGGAAAGCAATAAACCCACAGATTGTCAGCAGCCACATTCCCCCACAGGTGCTCACACTCAGGATAATTGTTTGTAACCAGTAATCAAATGACAGCTTTTTTATGAAGTCAACCACATCTCTTATTATATCAGAAACATTAACAAAGTGGATTTGCCTAAGGAAAACCTGAGATTCCTTAAAGATACCTTAAACATTTTCATCTACTTGGACACTGTCACTCTTCTGAGACACAGCATTGTTCTCTCTGATGACATGCTGGCAGAATGATATTTCTTAAAAAAAAAATCATTATCAATGAACTTTTCTCTGGGAGACACTATATGCTCCTCAACTCATATCTCTAAAAACTATAGCCTATCCTCTCTGGTAAAGTACAGTCTTTGGAAAGCAGTAAATCTCATTTAAATATTTGCCAAACTTAAACTGTGTCCTGAAGCTGAACTACTAATTCTGAGAACAGATTTCAGGGACTGACACTAGAAGCTTTCATTTTTTTGAGGCCATCTGGTTCTTGGGTTTACAAAGGTCTCAGAATACAAACAAGAGGCAAAGATTGCAGAAGTTTACAGTCTGTGTTCTTTTTCACATCATGGGTACTATATAACACAGAAACCCAATTTGCTGTCCTTCACATAGGGGAGGCTCAACACACCTCATTTCGTTTTTCTCCAATGAAATATGCAGCAACATGTGCTGGAAGAACATTTTCCAGCAAAAGCCTGTTAACATTCTCCATAGTTTCAAATTGTTCATGTTCCTTTTTAAACTTATTCTTCCACAGACAATCCAGTCGACAGTAATAGTCAATCTGCAAAGAGATCAAATATGACAAATTAAATCCATAAAATAGCACACTGAAAAATACAAGGCAATTTTCTGAAGAAGTGTAGTAGCAATAGTTTATTGAAGGCCTTTTGAGTCTATATAGTTATGAAAAATGTGCTTTGAGAGCAAAGGTCAGAAAAATATGAAGCAGCCACTAAGACCAAATGTCATTTGATACCATCAGGTGTATTTACCAAAATGACACTTTAGTAATATAATTATTTTTATCTTGAATTGCTATGTTGATTTAGAATGAATACTGGTATATAAATACAGATAGATCAAAACTGAAAGAACCAGGAAGTTCTCACAACTGTGATGCAAACACGGTTGAAAACTAGAAAAATGTTCCCATCCTTTCACAGAAAAAATTCTTTCATTACCAAAACCTAATTATATGTGTGTTATCTGCAAGAATATTAAAAAATATAAAAATATATACTAATTTAATGTACAATTTCAAGGAACAACACTTTTGCATTTTATTTAAATCAACTTGCTGCAAGTAAAGGAACTACAGGATTGCATTTTAAATACATACCTGTTTTGCAAGTAAAACTAGGGTTATGTAAAACAGAACCAGATATAAATTAGTCATTATCCTTGGCTCTTTGATGAAAAACCTGAAAATAAGAAAGCAATACAAAGTCATCTGTATGCTTTGAGAAGGGAAGAGGGTGTCTGTCCAGACTGGCACCACAGGGTCACTGTCCATTTGTGCCACTGGCTGGCTGGGGACAGGTCCTGTCCCAACACCCAGAAAGGATTATCAGCCAGTCCAACACATGAAATGATGCATGGCACATCACAGCACACTGGGTGTTGAAACCTTGCTCCAGTAGCTGTTGTGAGATGCTCGAGTAATCAGGGCTTTATCTTAATGGAGCTATCTTAATTTCCACCAGACTGAGTTTCAGCTCCCACCCCACACCACCCTACAAAAACACAGCCAACAAAACCTTGAGGTAGTAAAAAACATTCTTATTTGTGGAAGGAACAACAATAACAAATTAAAAACCTGAACTCCTAAGACAAAGACAGTAGTTAAATTATATCTGTATCTGAATCACCACTCGTATTTCATAGTAAGATCAGTCTTACCACATATATTACTTTTTACAAATGCAAATTAAATTCTCATCATATGAATGATTAAGTTCACTCAAGCTTTTTTAAGGTGTGCTGACAGGTTACAGCCCCTGCAAAATAAAATTATTCTAATCTTCAACTATGAGACTATGCAGAGGAATCTCAGAAAGAGTTCAAAACTAACAGTAAAGCCTTTGCATGTGATTTCTCTTCAGTATTTTCAGTTTCTGCAATTAGATCAGGTAAATTACTGTTACTATTCAAAGTACCTGTAAGAGTTCACCAACCATGACTACCAAGCTTGAACCTCAGACTTTTAGCAAGGCTTTTCTTCACAACTTAAGATCAACCTTACTATGACATTAATATTCTACTCTCCAGTCCTTAATGTAATCCAAGGCTCCTAGGGATCTCGGAAGCCACATGACAGATTTTTTTTCAGAGAACATACACTTTGTTTAAAAAGTATATGTAAAAAAAGGTGGCATGGTCTAATAGAATTTCCATGTTGTTAACTTTACAGAAAGGTTTGCACTGTCTGGCTTACATGATTTTGATATTTCAATATTCCAGTAAGTGCACAAAAATCTAACACTTCCTTAAATGAAACATAAAAGGATGAGAAACTTTACAGTGCACCTGGTACTGTTGCCATAGTTGTCTTTGTGCTGAAGGGTATTGAAAATGATGAGGTAGACAGTCACAGCAATGGACAGGAGGAGAACTTTGAGTTCGAAGCTCATTTGAAGAAATACTGAGCAGGCAATGAACCCCAATATACAGCAGTAAGCATAATACTGTAAAAGAGGAATGTAAAGGTAAAGAGTCTTTGCATTATTCAGAACTTATGTCTAAGAAATGTTCAAACCACAAGAAATGCTCTGAGTTCATGGGCACTGCAATTAAAAGCAAAGATATTGCAATCACTTAAAGCTGTATTTTTAATGGCACTAAAAGGATGAACTTAATATTGATTTTAGTTTACTTTTATAATTTGTTATGGGTAAACAAAAATATTTAAACAAAAACCAATCAACATAAGTAAGCAATGCCACATAAAAACTGAAGTGTTGAGAATTTCTCTCCTGAATTTTATTAATTCAAATAATTATTTATTTAAAGTTTGAGAATAATCTAAAGTAGGTTCACAGTCCATAGAACCAGCAAGTCCAGCACTCTAACCCCGTTCTGACTGTGCTTTCCCATTGTAACCTAGAGCAGATGCCCCATCCCCAGCCCCACACCAGTAACACATGGAGACTGTGGCTGGTTATCCAGCCTGAGACTCAGCTCCTCAGAACAACTGTGATTGATGCTAAGAAGCATTTCCAAGCTGTGGCCACTGGCCCCATTATGGAATTGCTGAGCACTTTGCCAGGGGAATCCCAGCTCAGGCAGGGTGTCCAAGGTCAGCCTGAGCTGGCAGCACCGAACATGGTACCAAGAGTACCAAGAGTGTGGTGCAGACAGGACTGCTGCCTGCAGCCACGGGCACAGGTGTCGGGTGCTCAGCTGGCACACTTCAGGCTACAAGCAGCTCCAAAATTACCTCAGCTTCTGCTCCTCAATGCACAGTTTTCCCATCTGTAATAGCACAGGCCTACTACAGAACTGTGAGATTCTTGGCTAAATAATTAACATTTCTACTGAAGTGAATGAAACCAGAACAATTTATGAAGCAATTCCTAATCAGAGTCCATGTATCACACATTATACCAACTTTGTCATCCTAAGAGAGGTCTGTCAGCCACTTAAGCTCTTTCACTCTGCAAACACACTTTACTGGGACACTTGCAAGTACAGCTCTCATCTTTCAGACTCAAACATTATCATCACCCTGTTCTGCTGTTTTCTCCTTAAAGATTTAGACCTATTTCTCAGTTTGAAATTTCTAAAACCTGCAAAGCAATACTTTACTTAGCACAACAACAGCAGCTGAATTATCTTGATTTCATGAACAATTTTTATGCTGTCAGATATCTAAAAAAGTTTCCTTTTACACAGCAATAGAACCTGCCATTTGTCAGTAATGTACACCACATTCAAAGATCAGGCCTAAGTAAGATGTTTTCATTACTTACAGTTTCCTCTATGCAGGAATGAGTTGTGTTTTCAAAAGCCTGATGTACAAACATGCAAGAACAAAAAATCACCAGGTGAGTGAAATGTGCTTTTCATTTGTTTAACTTATCATTTGTCATAAGCACCTGAATGAAAGGCTCCTCACACACTTTGCTGCACATAATTCAAAAACACGTCCATCATCTAAAGGGGTGGCCAGGTGACAAAGGGGCATCCCAAATATTTGGATGAACTCAAAATAGAACACCACTTCAGCATTAGAGATAAAAAAAGTGAAACTTCCTGAAATAATACTTTTGTGTCACTAGTAAGTGCTGGATTTACTATTACAGAAATGCTGGAGAACACCTTTCAAATATGCTGAGAGACCAAATAAATCAAAACTTCAGTTTTATACATGAATACTCCAGACTTCTGAAAATCCCAAAAGGATGCACAAGAAAGCTACATACAAAAATACAAAATATCCCTTAAAACTGCCTTGTGCCATGAGCAAGTCTTCATGTTCAATAGTTAAAAAACCCCGAAACCCTATCTTTATAAATAAAAAGAAAAAATATAAAAATATTGCCATCCATCATGACATCACCCTACATGATGGGAGTTGGACTTGGATGATCTTTGTGGGTGCCTTCCAATTCAGGATGTTCTATGATTCTACACCCACCATCCAAGACTCATTCCATTTCAATCCCAGAAATTAAGATGGTATTTTACTCACACAGTTGGTAGCATTCAGGTCATTTGATCCAGTAAAGTTGGCAGGCTTGTTCTTTTCGGAAGTCTTGATTTATTGGAGGGGAAGAAAAAAAAACCCACAAAGCAAAACAAATCAATAAAACCAGCATACAAACTAATTAGCAGGTAATCACTGATTTTTTCCCTATATATTTTACAAAGAGTGTTGATCTGGTTGTCTTTTCACTGCTATTGAATAAATGTTGAAATACAATTGCATCCCATGTAGTTATGCTAAACATATATGCACACACAAGCTGCAAGAAGGTTAACATTTACTTATTTTCTAATTGGGGGTAAAGGTTTACATTATGGACATGTTAATTTAGCAGCTATCTGGCAGAAACATGTGGTTTTGTCTCACCCCCCGGTTTCACAGCTGCTGTTCCTGTTTTCTTTCAGTCTGTCTCTGGTGGTGTTCACATGACACCACTGTGAGTCAATTCAAGGACCTAAGCCAGCAAAAAACACCCTATGAAAGAAAATTGAGCATTTTCTGCAGTATTGCTTTCAGAAGGAACTCCCCATGGAATCAGAAGAATGGCAAGGCAAAAGAACACATGGGATCAGGACACCAGTTTTGGTAGTTAACTATCAGTTAAGTGGAACTGTTAACACACAGAGCTTGTTTTAATAAAAAACCCAGCACAGTTATTCAAATGTACATGCCCCGGGTGCAATATAATATTCAAACTAAATTTAAAAGACAGATGCCATTTCCACTTTACTCCAGCAGCACCTATCCCCAATGCCTTTGCTTTTAGAAGAGAGCCAAGCTATATTCTTCCCTCCCTCACCCACATTACTACCAGTGAGTGCAAATACCACAGTGAACTGCATAAAGCGCTGCCTGCCACTGCCAAACATTTCAAACCCCATTAAAACAGGAAACATCTTAGTGAGGAGGGTTACAATCAAGAGCTGTTATAAGTACTGTCTTGAAAACCAGAAATGTTTGTAGAATTGAAGTCTATCAAGTGTACTTCCAGTTCCACAAACTAGGAGCTTTTATTTTTAATGCTTCTATTTGACATCATGCACTATCCCTGTGCAAATCAACTCGTGTTGTAAGGCAGGCATTAGAAAAAGCAGCAAAATCTGGTACATGATGAAAAGAAAGCAGGAAGTTACTGAAACTGTGGATTTTACAATATGTTCATTAATTAATGTGATTACTTACCAAGTTAAAAATGGCTATAATCAGCAAGGCAGCTATAGTGATGACTGCTAGAGGCAGCCTAAGCAAAGGCATTGTTTCCACCTTTTCTGAGACAGCACACAGATGGCGCAGGGGAGGCCACTGGTCTGAGCAGCACTTCTGTAAACACAATTAATTAGTTTCAGTAACAGATAACACTTTGATACAGGGGAAGAAATATTTCTAAATATAAAGTTGACCTTTTTTCTGCAGGAAAGTGTCAAGAACCTTCACTGGAATTCTAATTTAAAATCTTCTCATTCTGAGTCAATGTCTAACACCTTTCCCTGGCTGAAAATAGAGACAATGCTTCCTTTCTTCAAAGGGGTTGGGTGCTAAAATTTTCTGAATTCGTGCTTTAAAAATACAGAATTATGATCTGTTTGAAAGTTATAGAGAAAAGTTAATAAAATGAAGTAAAAATGTTGTGGGTTTTTTTTCTTTCTGTAATAGAGCTATAATATTTGGAACTACATGTTCAGATTAATAAATTGAAACTAACTCTGGACAGTCCCCATTCTTGCCATCCTTATGTCCTCCAATTGTTGCTATAGAAAAAAAAAATCCAGTAAAGCACATAATTTTAATGACTGCAAGCATTATTCTGTTATTTGACTACATCAAAACACTCCCAAGCATAAAACTCAAGTCTCATGCAACTGCAGTCCTGGAATTTTCTATTTTGTCCATGTGTTTCTACACATGGAGAAAAAACACATGAATGCATATACACACACCTCTCTCTCCCTCTACAGACATATATGCAAAAATCCATGTTTATACATATACAAATACCATACATACATAAAATCCATAAATATGTCTAACCATACAATTAAATGAGTCATAAATCTTTGTCCCATGTCCTGAGTGTAATTTTCTCCTATTTTTTTCCTTCCCCTTTACACAGCTTGACCATGGCTCTGTAAGAGACTCTTTCCCTCCCTGGAGAGCTCCATCCCCTCACTGGGTGCTGCAGTGCAGTGCTGCTGCACGTCCCTGCTCTGGCACAGTGCAGCTTTGACGAGTGCAAGGAACATTCTAGAATCCCTTCTCTAAAATCCCTTCCCTCTCCCCCCACATTGCCCCCAGGCACTTCTTGAACTGAGAAGGCCTTTTTTTTCTTTTTTTTTTTCACTCTGTATCATTGAACTCTCTGTCACTGTGGGCTCTCTTTGTCACTATATATTTTTAAACAGTAATTGCATGTGTTTAATAATGCAAAGAAAAAGGAACTACAAGTGCAAAGTGTCCCAATTGATGTAATGGTGAATTTGGAATTCTAACAGCCATGAAATTGTTGCCAATAAATTATTCATATGTTTGCAATTTTCATTACACTTCATAAATTATTATGAAAACAGATCTTCTGTTCCAACTTATTTCAATACTGTTTCCAGAATAGAGAATAACACTATTTACAACCAAAATTACTATTAATGACAAACATAGAAATACATTTTATAAAACCAACCCCATGTCCTCCCTCCTACCCATCTATTCCTGCACTCAAATAATTCTGAATTACTGGTAGAATTTTCAGACATGAAAATCTGTTTCAGGCAATGGAATCTTCTGGTAACCTGAGGTTCAAGGCTCCTGTAACTCCTATTGAAATTACTAAAATTTCATCAGCCTAAAAGACAGACCAAGTTGCTGAAATATATCCATCCCCCTTTGAAAACAGGAAGTGTTTTTTAAAGTAAACTTACCAGACATTTCTCAGCAAAGCACACAAACAAAATAAGTGCAATGATGATGGCAACGACTCCAAAGGAAATTCCCAGTTCTGCAGTTCTAAACAGAAGAAGAGAGCACTAAAAAAACCAAGTTTAAATACAGTTTTTCTTCAAATAGCACTGAATAACAGTAACATCACACAGGTTACGGTTGCTCTGTTGCACAATCTCTGCTTTAAGAGCTTCTGCTCTGATGGCCTGAGCCACTGTCCAGTGCATAAACCACATGGAAACTGCACTGCAACAGCCATGATAAACAAAGGTGCCATACACTTCAGAATTACCCATCCTCTGGTTTCTTGGGCTGCAACTAGCAGCTCAAAGCTGCCTCCTTGTAACTCTACAGAAAAGAATCACTGAGCACAGTTCAAGCAGCGAAATCCCACTTTCCTACTGCTCAATGGCCTTACAGCCAACTGTTCTTATAAAATGATATTCCTTACTTAACTGACCTCCTCCCTGTGTGTACTAAGCAAACAAAATATTAAAGAAATATTTCTATTTTATTTTCATACTAATGTCTTGGCTCTTATGCCAACAACATGAATGCAATCCCTTACCATGGGGTAAATGAATGTATGTTTCTTAAATTTAACCCCTCAGGAACTCCAAAAAGTTCCAAAAAGAAACTCCACATGCATTTCACTTTAGCTGTTGGTTAATTTGAATTATAAATAATTAAAATACCAGCACTTACTTTGGCATGATAAGCATCTGGATCACAAATATACAGAGGAACACAAAACTGGCACACACAAAGTAACTCTTGAGTTTCAGAATAGGAATGGTGCGGTACTGAAACACAGAGAGAGCAAAGCATCAGGGCCCTTTCAGGGGTGTTTTTTCTTTATTTTATTACATTCTTGTGACGACACATATATACAAGTTTATACTGCATTATTAAAAATACACTAAAACAGAACAAAAGACCATCACCAAAGAAAACCCAATCACTTGAACATTGTTCAAGAAAAACAGCCCAGGCCAAAGGATAATTTCTACATTTCCAACCTAGAGGGAAATCCAGGCAGTATGTAAAACAGCTCTCCACAGATTCCCATGGTCAAAATCCTTATCAGGAAAGGACATACACAGAAGTAAACTAAAGTGTATGTACAGATCCACACCAGTAACTACATCCACAGCACAGTAAATTTAACAGCAGTTATTCAAACAGAAAAGCTACACTGCACCTAAAAAATAGCAGTATTATATCTACAATGAAACAGCCACAGCAAACAAAGTGTTTTCATTATGGATACAGAAATGTTTTTTTTTCTTTCCTTCTTTAAATCTCATTACTTTTGAGGGAAGTCATTTATTTAAAAAAATTATCAAACTCCCACTAACTCCCTTATGGCAAGAATTTGACCACAGATTAGAGACAATCTCATTTAAGCTCAGAATTTTCATTCTGAAGGAAGAACGACCAGTTCAAACACTCCTGAAATCTGCTTTCCATTAGTAACCAGAAACCTCTTAGGATGTGCAGTCACCTTCAGAATCCAGTTTCAGAATGAAACATTTCAAACATATTCTTATCCTGCTCTGAAGGGCAAACCAAAGACCAGAAAAGATTATTTTGTTCTTACCAACCTCTTTTTCAAGACCAGGTTCTGCAAAGATCAGTGAGAATCCACAGAAGTCATCTGACCTGCCACACCAGGGACTGCAGCCAGAGAGAGACAGGGGTGGGTCAGCAGGAGCACACAGGGCCAAGGAGAGGACACAGAATCATCCTGCACCTCAGACCCACGGCCACTCCCAACACACGTCTGATGCTTCTGCAAGGTCTTTATGTTTCATTGCAGAACAAAGCAGTAAAACCATGATGTTTTTACTCATCTGACAGGCAGAGCCACAACACTCACAGACAGCAACATCTGCCTAAGCTACATGAAAAATGTAGCTCCAAACCTTCCTTAAGGCTAAAGAATAGGAAAGTGTAACAGCAGATGTTAGAGAGGGCTCACAGCCTCCAGAAACTTGCCCTAAATAATATCAGACTCCAATTAGGAATATCTGAGGTACAGCCTTCCTAGAATGTAGATGGAATAAAGAGTTTTTCTTCTTCAATTCGGTGTTTGAAGAATTTGTTAGGAATGTAAATATTGTATTTTAAATTAAAACAAATAAAACCAAAAAAAAAAGAAAACCCAAACCACCACCAACACACTGCCTGTGTTTGTCTGCTTCTAAATGCAAATGCAGGGCCAAAGGAATTACCTGCCCCTGACAGACCATTTGCCTTCAGTGGACCAGACACTAAAGTAACTTTATTACCCCCAAAACTGTTTTGACTTTCTACATAGTTTTTTGTTCAGAACAGTGCCCCATCTCATGACACTTCTTGTTTTAATAAAGAAAACTTTGAACAGAAAGACTGATCACTGGCTTCTTGCTAAATAATGCAGTAACAGTTTCATATTCAAATTAAAAAATAAACCAAAAGCTAAATAAAAACAAAGAGAAAAAAAGGGCAAGACAAAAACCCTGATAACTTTATACATATACTTTATATCTAGGCTTAAATTGAAAATGTAGGTAAATCTCAAAGAAAAGATGAAGAATAAATGAAAGTACTGCATACGTAGTTGAGCTGAGGCCTTCAATGGTTGACATCATTTCATCATAAATATCTTCCTCTATCCTTCCCTTCTGAGATGAATTTCTGAGGATGAAAAGAAGTCTGTGTCACAAATGCTAGTCAGAAACAAGTAATGGCTACAGAGCACACTTACTCAGCACACAGTGGGGCAAGCCTCCAGGGAAAAGTTAAACCAAAGTGCTCCAAACTGATTAAAAAATACACCCAGGAGCACTTTACTAAGCATTTCTCTAGTTACCCAAATAATGCATTTTCAAGACAGCATTTTGACAAACTGAGGGAATGTTCCACAAGTGAAAACCATCTCCTCACTTAACTCAGTGTTGTGGGTACCATTGACAATTCTTATCACATTGTAATATTTTAATATAAATTTGCTGGCTGCAGCCCAGCAAGCAAAATGGAATCTGAATGACTGGACGGACAGTAAGACAAGAAGTTCCTTTTAGAGTCTGCTAACAATTACAGACATGAGCTGAGAAATCTTCCAAAGGCCAAAGCTTTAGCTTAACCTTTCTAAGGCAGGACTACCATACACACAGTGATTAATCAACCAAATGATGACATCCTTACAGCACACTGAACTGCAAGAGGAGCACAGGAGCACCAAAAAAAAAAAAAAAAGAGAAGAAAATAAGGTACTTGACAAACCTATCAGAAGTTCTCTGGCGCCCAGTAGAAGACAAAGGTATTTCCTAAATAAAATAGGAATTCAGAATAAGTTACACATTCTTTGAATAGCAAACAACTATGGAAAACAAACATCAAGAAACTACCAAAACCATTTTTATTCAGAAATAAAAGAAATGTTTCTAAAAACCAATCCTTTCCAGCAACGTTTTCTGCTTTAACAAGTGAGAAGTGAGTGGTTTCTGACAAAAAAGATCGTTAGATCATCCCTCTCATTTTTCTCTACACACCAAAATAATTAAGCAAGCACCAGCAGAAACAAGCAGACTGGGAACCACTTCAACACATCTGAATGGATGCTTAATTTAAAATTTACTACAGCTGTGGCTCCAGGACCACACCTGACCGCATGCACATCTCCTGCTTCCACCTTTCAGAAAGGGAAGGTGGAAGGAAAAATTAGTTTTCTTATATTTTAAAATCTTAAAAACCTTAAGAATTCTTGATTTTAAAAATTCTTTGCTGATAAAATTCAGTTGCAAGGAGACCATGTGGAGAGACCATTTATTTTCTATACATTTCAATTAAGTATTGAGTATGTCCATCTGTTTTTTTTATAAAAACCACATGGACAAGGCAGGATCTCAAGATGGGAAAAATAATAGGAAAAATAGATAATTTTACTTTGAGGATATGCTAGATTATAGTATGCTAGAGAGATTGGCAGTCTGAGAATGGTGAAGGTCTGACAGAAGGAGAAAGTCACAAAGTCTGCCTTTTCTGACTGAAACAATCCAAGGAAAAGGCAACACAGCAACAACAGCAAGGCACTTCTGAGGAGAGCAGCCAGTATTTTTCTGTACCTATTCACACTTCCCCTTACATGTTATTTCACTCAGTATCCCAAATCATGTATTTCCACATAAGCTATGAGTAATAGCTTTCCATATAATTTCTCAACAGGAGACTGAAGGGAGTTCATAAAATAGCATTTCTTAAGTTCTACTTTCTCATTGTTCATGTCCCCATGCTTTTCTCACTTTTCTTTGGCACAGAGGGGTTAGACACTGCCCTACAGCCCATTAGCTCAGGGCTGGGAAAGCACAATTCCAGAGTGGAAGCTGGCAGTGTGCAGCACTGCTGCCTGACTGCAGAGAGCGAGGGACAGACGCCCCTCAGCTGGGTGCACTGCACACCAAGGGTCAGAGCAGCCACACAGCCAGCACAGGCAGGTGTGGAGTGGCACTGGAGCAGTTTGCAGAGCAGTTTGCAGCAGCCTGGGTCCCTGACCTTCCTGCGGCGGCCCTGCGAGCCCGAGCAGTCGCTGCTGACGCTGTCGCGGTGGCTCAGGTGCGCGAAGGGCCGCGCCGCCCCCCAGGACTCCAGGTAGCGCGTCATCCGCACCGAGGCGCGCATCTTCAGCCCGTCGTTCACCCGCGCCTTGGGGACGTGGCTGTTTGAGAGGCACTGCTTGGACTGGCAGAAAGAAAACACATGGACAAAACAGAAATTCAGGCAAATTTCAAAATACCGAAGTTCTGCGTGTTGAGTCGTTTAAGACTCAAATCTCGCCATTTTGGAGGGCTCTGGACACATCAGCAACATGTCAGCCAACCTCAATTCCTTTATCCCATTTAATTAAGGTGAGCTAAAGCAAATCACAGCGCACACAAAATTAATTGCTTCAGCTGCCTTCACCAGACTTGGCTTGCAACACTGCAAAAAACTCTGGGTTTATGTACAGTGATGCAAGGACTCATAGCATCTTACAAACAGATACAGTTCCCTTGCAGTCAGCACTACAGCAGAGGAAAAAGGTGCCAAACTCCTGAGCTGCTGGGGTGTATCAAAACAGTGGTTAGAAGATCCCACAAATTACAGACTCCACATTAGATTATATCTGTGTCACAGCTGCTGAGTCAGGCAGTACAGAGAGTGTGTACAGCAATACCCTTGCAGAACTACAGAATAAACCAAGACATCAATGACTGATAATTCTCTAACATTTCACAAGTATCTTCAAGGGAGCAGAGACCATTATAATATTCATAGGTCCTCATTCTGAGAATATGTGCTGCATGTAGCTGGGGGCGGACTGCAGTAATGAAAAATATAGCCAAGATAAGATTGAGTTCTTGCTAATTAAAAGTGGCTCTATGCTATTCCTTCCTGTAGAGATCAGGAAGCAAAGAAGTTTCTCATCTGCATTCTTTTTTCATTTGAAACATTTTACTCATCAACCACAAGCCAGTTCAAAATAGCAATAATTCAGGTGTTTGTAGTCATCAAGCTCTAAGGGAGCAACCCACAGTTGCTAACTTCACACTCTGAACAGAAGGTCAATCTTCCTTTTCAGATAGGGAGGAACACATCTGATGCTATTTTACAGGGACTATTTTATCTGCAAGTGGCCACACAGTACAGGTATTCTTTCATTCCTCATCTTTTGACCTGGGTTTTTGAGACACTTCATAAAAATACATAGTCAACTATGTTTTTTTACTTTAAGTGGGTCACAAAAGAGGTTTCAGCATAACACTTATTACCTTCAATGTAATAGGCATGTCATAAAGAAGCAGGATGTGCTTTCAGATCTGAACTCCCAAATCCAAGCTACTCAGGTGACTCACACCATGCTCCAATTCTGCATCTGAATGAAAAAGCTGTGTGCACCTATGTACTCATGTGTGTATACACTTGAATAAATATATATGTTTGAAAACAAATACATACCCTTGGATCAACCACTAAGTAGGTTTTGATATTCATGGATTCAAGGTAAGGGTCCCTCAGGTGTCCATTCCCTTCTTCTACTTCATAAGCCTTGCCTAGGTGATTTAACGTTGCTTCAGTGATGTGCACACGGCTGAGAACGGGAGAAAGAACAAGAGACCCAAACACTCACAGAAAGGTCACATTAAGCATTTCATTTACATTTCAATGGCCCCTGCTGACATTTCTGCTTTTCAGACATCTCCTGCTTTGGCAGCCAACTGAAAAATCCTGCCAGTACTTAAAATTGTATTTGCAATCTTTTACTACAGTACATCATTCATAGCAAGTTCCCTAAAAAACACTTCCCATAATGAGATAGTATTGGTTCAAAATTAAATTGAAATAAGCAGGGAAGTAAATGAAACAAGAAGAAATGTGATCAAAGGAGATCTGATGACTCACAAGACAGGCAGGCTCACAGGCAGGTTGTGAGAGCTGCAGGGAAAACTCATGAACAAAACACAAGCAAGGACTGCTTTGTGCTAGAAATGCATGAGGCTGGGGGGAGACACAGAGTCTGGGAAAAGAAAACTGGGGAAGGTTTTTTGTTAACTCTGAGGAGAATTCTGAAAGTCTGCCTTTTCTGACTGAAACAATCCAAGGAAAAGGCAACACAGCAACAACAGCAATGCACTTCTGAGGAGAGCAGCCAGTATTTTTCTGTACCTATTCACACTTCCCCTTACATGTTATTTCACTCAGTATCCCAAATCATGTATTTCCACATAAGCTATGAGTAATAGCTTTCCATATAATTTCTCAACAGGAGACTGAAGGGAGTTCATAAAATAGCATTTCTTAAGTTCTACTTTCTCATTGTTCATGTCCCCATGCTTTTCTCACTTTTCTTTGGCACAGAGGGGTTAGACACTGTCCTACAGCCCATTAGCTCAGGGCTGGGGAAAGCACAATTCCAGAATGGAAGCTGGCAGTGTGCAGCACTGCTGCCTGACTGCAGAGAGCGAGGGAATCACTCCTCTATCCACCTCCCCTTCCTAAAGCTGGACATTGGTTTGCATGAAGATAATGTGTCCAAGACCAGAAAACTACTGGCTGTAGCTTCTAAGAAGGAGGAATAAAAACTTCCTCAGTACTTTTGAATCCAACAATAAGACCTGAATTGCAGAAGGTGCCTGCTTTGTCTGTGTACTGGTAGTTTTCTCAAAAATAGTTTAATTGTTACCTTGACTATACACTTTTGCAGTTAAGGTGAACCTTCAAATCTGAAATTTTAATATTTGCTCTAAAGCATATTTTTTTTCCACAGAGACTGGGGTGTTCTGGGTGATGTCTGTGCCCTGAGCCTTAAAACACAGCCACGTGCTGCAGCAAGTTTCCTGTGCTTTTCCCTTTCCTCCAAAAAGCAGCACATTTGTTCACTACCTATCATTTTACATTTTACCAAGCTTCCTCTCCCCTCTCCCACAAACCACACACTGTGTAGGACATTTCTGATCTTCCTGCCAACTTCTCTTCCAGTTAGGTGCCAGTGATCTCTCAGCAGTTCCTAATTGCTCCCTGGGTTCCAGGATAAGCACATCACCAAGAGCTGCTCTCCCAGGCGAGCTGGAGCACGCGCTGCTGCCCTTGCTGTGCCAGGACAGAACACCCAGCACACTGTGCCAGCCTCCCATGCTGACAGCAGAATAACACGTGCTGAGCCTCCAGCCATTTACACATCAGAGAGAAATGGTCATAAATGCACTTCTAGTTTTGATTTTATGCTACTCCTTTCTGCTTTAGTAGTGGATTAACACTGTTATGAATGTAAGTAATTTTCAAAATCACAAGGAAGATGAACAAGGTTACTCTGACACTGGACAGAAAATATTTCAAATATTTAAATATTTCAAAAGCTAGAAGCTTTCCTGCATCCCTCCCTTCAAAAGTCTTTAGAATTCCTTCATTTACAGAAACTCAAAGTAGATATGCTTCCTTTTTTAAGCAAAACCTCTGGCTGGCTCCTAATGGCAAAACTGCTTCCAAAGGAGCAGGACTAGCTGACATTGGACTAAGGAATTCCCAACAAATAATTCCTTGCAGAGTAGAAAAAAAACACAACACAACTCTTCCATAGTGAATAATACCCCTTCCACCCTGTCAGGCTCAGTCTTCCAGAAGTGGAGGATGTTTCCCCTGGCCGGCTTTGAAACTCAAGATGAGTGAGTACTACACAGCTATAGGTAGAGGAAGTAATAAGAAAAATGTTTCCGAATCAGCATGACAAACTAAACCAGCTTAATTCCTTAGCAGCTTATCAACTATAAACCTGACAAGCATACAGGAATAATCAGAGTTTTCAAGATTAGGCAAAGGTCCCAAACGTGACTAACAAAGTGTGGGTTTGTGCCATATTCAGAGTCATGCTGTTTGTTTTACCAACAAAAGAAACTTTACAACTCTGTATTCTTGTTTAATCACGCTGAATCAACACAGTAAACCCTTCAGCCTGGCTGGTGGTGTAACTGTTCACCAAGCTCCAAGTAGCTTTCTGTTTCAGTGACCAATGCAACAAAGTATTTTAATATTCATAACCTCTTATCACTTAATAAACCACTTTAATTTTTAAGTTATAAGTTACAAGCATATACCTAAAAGCTATCTAAGGTATAGAAATAATAAGCAAAGCTATAATGTCCCTGGTTAGAAACACTTAATAAAAGAAACCAATCTGCACAGACTACCATGACACAAAAAAAAAATCATGGTCTGATTTGGGAATGAAAAAAGAAAAAGTCCTATATTGGCCTTTTTTTGTGTAATCTACTGAAATAAGAAAGAAAAAAAAAAGAGGGTTTCTTAGATGAATTAGATGAATTCTAATCCTCAAATTTAACTTAGAAAACAGGAAAAGAATATACTTTCCTAAACAAAGAAAATGAAAATGTTGATGGTTTTGAAAAACATTTATATTTGTTGTGTTCAATGAGTGTCCTAAAAAGACTACAAGAGACCAACCTCAGCTCCAATCCTTGTATCACTGAGCAGCAGCTCATGGTAAGTTATACCCCTGCTCTGCCTCAATCCTCCCATTCAGCACCACTCCCTTCCCTTCCTTCTGCCCATGGCAAATGCGCAACAAACAACAGCTCCACACTCTCCTTGCTGGGATACTCCCATCAGGGTGCATTTTAATTTCTGAGTTGCTTATGAGGTTTGAGCGGTGAATGTAGAGCTGACATAAATCAAGTGGAGCTGATCGATGCATTCGCAGAAACGCTGGGCAAAGACAGCTTGGCCTTGTTGACCTAAGGAGCACAACTGTTCTCTGACTAAACTCACAAACGTAGAATTACCCTGTGTACAGCATGGATTAACTAAGTCAACACAATGCACACGTTTCTCCCATGAAGGGATGGTCAATAAGCAGCCTCTTGCCTAAGAATAGAATTTTATAGCTCGCTGAAAACGCAATCGGAAAATACGAACATTTTACAGCTCTGCTAAGCACACATCTGTCCTATATCCACCACCCCGGGTGAGGAAGTGATGGACCCGGGGCCATGCCAGCCCAGCTCAGAGGGCACGGAGGGGACAGCCCCGCACGGAGGGGACCCGGCACGGAAGGAGCCCGGCCCCGCACGGAGGGGACACTCGGCCCCAGCCCCGCACGGAGGGGACACCCAGCCCCAGCCCCGCACGGAAGGAGCCCAGGCCTGCACGGAGGGGACACTCGGCCCCAGCCCCGCACGGAAGGAGCCCAGGCCTGCACGGAGGGGACACTCGGCCCCAGCCCCGCACGGAAGGAGCCCAGGCCTGCACGGAGGGGACACTCGGCCCCAGCCCCGCACGGAAGGAGCCCAGGCCTGCACGGAGGGGACACTCGGCCCCAGCCCCGCACGGAGGGGACACTCGGCCCCAGCCCCGCACGGAAGGAGCCCGGCCCCGCACGGAGGGCTCTCGCTCACCCCGGCACTCCGGCAGACTCCATGCGGTTGGCCAGGGACACGTCGTGCGACCACACGTCGTACTGCCACTTCCTGAGGCCGATGACCCCGCACAGCACGTTCCCGGAGTGGATCCCGACCCTCATGTTGATGTCCACGCCCGTGGCTTCTCTCACCTGCCTGGGGAGGCATCGGGGATTAGAGCAGACTTTGACATTTCATCTCCTCCTCCTGTCTCATCATACACTTGGTGCAAAACTTACGGTCAGAACTATGCAACTACAGCTAATAAATACACTTTGAATGTTGACAAGAAAACAAAATACTTAATTCAATATCTCAAATCTCAATTTCTGCACAGTATCTATATTTTAATCAGCCTTCTGTGTAACACTTACTTTATTGCTTCACACATGTCGAGCCCCATTTTAACACAGTTCCTGGCATGAACGGGTAAGGACACAGGCAGGCCTGACACACAGTAGTAACAGTCGCCCAGGATTTTTATTCTCATGCATTCATTCTCCTGCAAAATTACACCAAACATTTTATTACACCAAAAATTAACTCCAAAGGTTCTAGTTTCAGAAAGTCAGGCTTTATTCACTCCTTGTTGAAACAAAGCTTTCTTCTTCTGCCCCATGTCCGAATGCCTGGACATTGCTCACTGGAGAGAACAAAAATGACACTTTAAGCATTTCTGAAATAAAACCATCTTGTTAGTTTCTTGCCTTTTTGTTGGAACTGTGTGAAATTGAAAAAATCATAAATAAAATAAAACCGTCACAAAATTCACCATCTAAAAGATGAAATATACTTATCTATCTTTTAATCTTCATCTGATTTATGGGCAGTTTTCCCTCTATTTTTACATGGCAGCCTCATAAGTAACAGTGTGAGGTGTCATAAAACCACCCAGCACTGAGGGAAAACTTGGAAATTCAGATGCCCAACCTGGTAGTTGTGCAGATGAAAATTGGGGTTTTTTGTTATTTCAAACATGAATGAACAGTAAGCTGGCACACACTACTGTTTGCTTTTGTTAATAAAAAACCCACAATACTAAATGGTAGCAAAAAAAAATTTTCCTAACTGTGCAACAGAGGATACTGCTGCCAATAACTGGCAGGAGAGAGCAAAAAGTCTCTGATACTGTCTTTTGTGAACACTTTACTGAAGAATTTTAACTACAAAGGTTGCAAGCAAGCCAGGACTAATTCTGCAAGGCTGTGTAATGTTTGACTGACAAGCAGAGATGGCTCAATTTGGGCCAGCCAATAGCTCCAGCTGTTCAACACTATCTGCTGTGGGAACACAGTTCCTAAATCAGCTCCAAAATCAGCCCAAATATGTGGCAATTTCCCAAAGTGAGCTGTTCTCCCTCATCAGTTAAAGCCTTAGGGAACATCCATCATTCTCCACATCTTAATCCACCCCAGTGGGTTTTGAGCAGTGCCACAAGTGACAAGCTCAGAGGGATCAGCAGGGAAAACCAGCCTTGGATTAGAGCTGCTGCACTTCAGCATCCAGCTCAGTGTCCAGCTCAGCCATCAATTTTTATTAGGTTAATTGGAGCTTGCAAGATTTGCACATTGTGGAAAAGATGACAGAATACTCCCCGGCAGAACAAAAATAGCACAAATAGCAGGAACCTCTTCTCACAGCTCAACCACAGAGTTGCAAAAGACCTTGACTCACTAAATCCAGACATTTCTGTGCAATTTGCATACAGCAGTGAGAAATTGAAACTCATCACTCAAAATCTAGATTTTTTTCCATTTTTCTGTCTGCAAAACAGTTACAAAGCCTTACCAAATGTGTTTAACCTCAGCTTGTACTTCAGCATTAGAATCAATTTCACCATTTGGCAACTAAGATGACATAACTTACTCTGTCTTTATAGCTGCTTCACAACAATACAATTGCAATAGTATAACTTATTTCTCAGTACGCAAACATTTAACAACAACTGAATTCAGATAAATGCAAAAATTAGCCATGTAATTTAGGCCAAAATATTACTAGCATCTTAGTCAGGTTTTAATCAGTGGTATATTTAAGAATTTATTCAATAAAATCCACAAGGGTTTAATTACAACAATTTCACTCCTCTGCTACATTAATAATTTTAGAGTTTTCCAACTTTCCAAATTTTTAGGATTTCACAAACACAACACACAAACATGTAGATGATACAGTCCCTGTAATGTGAGAACTAAAAACCTGAGAAAACCTGAGTTTGTGATGACTGCTACAAAAAATTAACCTCAAGCAGCCCCTGGAAGTGGTAACAATTCCTGCCAGGCTGAAGGGTCAGTATTGATGGTATGTCTTAACAGGGACCATTTTAAACTGCTCCCCAGCCTTACATTTTTTTGTAAGTATCCATTAGTAACAGGAAGCCTTCTTTAGTTCCCTCCTGAGCTAAAGAACTCTTTGCCTGATGCCTCTGAATTTATGAACTTAGATCTGTGTCTGAGAGTTCTCCATTTGTGGAGTCCAACAAACCTGCAAGCTGAACACAGCAAAGCTCCTCAGTGGAGTTTGCACACAGAACCTCCCACAGCCCTGCTGCAATCACTTACCACCATCAGACAATTTCCTAAATGATACAGATAAACTTCCACACCCAAGAACTGGAATTACAGTAGCAACTTGTTACAGTTCCCATTTTTGATTTACATTTTGTTTTAATGTGATTTTTCCAGTTAGCTTTAAAGCAAAAGCAGTTTTGCCTTCCTGACTTATTGACAAACACCCAGCTGCCTCCTGTTGTGCAAAAAGACTTCTTTTTCCAAAGGCCTTTATCCTGCAGCACAAACTGTACACCTACCTTTGCAATCTGATCAAACTTTCCAAAGAGTTCATTCAGCATCACTACGAGTTCCTTAGGAGAGCAGTCACTGGCAAGGCGAGTGAATCCTACAATGTCTGCATAAAGAATGCTGAACAAAAGGAAAAAGCAGGGAAAGTGACACATCAATTCCACAGTCAGCATAACTATTGAAATGTATTTAACAGAAAACACCTCTCTCTCCTCTTTGGGAAACAGCTCCAGCAAAAGGGTTCAAGTATCTCCCCTGATTTAAAAGGCGGCACACCAGTTCAACACACGTTATCTTCCCACAGCAGGAAAGAAGCTCACTTCAGCCCCAAAGTCTGCCTTCAAATTTTAATTTCACTGGACCATAGGTACTGATACGAATCAGAAGTTTATATCAATTTCTGGGGCTTCCACTTACCTAACATTTTGGTGCCTTTTTACATATAGGCTGTGGAAGTTGTTGTCATGCATCTGCCTGTTATCATTAGTTTCCTTCAGTCGCTCAATGATTGCCAGCTTCATTTCCATAGAGATATGAGCAGGCAGGATGGATAAAAGCAAATTTTCCTAAAAAGTGAGAGTAGGAATAATTGTGCAAAATTATTAACACAGTAAGTTTGAAACTGCAGAATTCTACTGACTGCAAGAAGGCATTAAAAAAACCAAAACAAAATGCCTTTATTCAAATAGTTTTTGAGTAATGCATGTCAGGTTTTCCAGAAGACATTTTTACATTGCTGTTCTCCAAATTATTGATTTCACATTTATGTTGCATATTTTTTCTTTTGTTCCTTGTGGCCTAGGGGTGACATTCTATTGTAACCACGAAACACACACACACACAAAATGTCAGTATTCAGTACTACATTTTCTGGATAAATTACATTTTATTTTGTTCCCTGATGTCAGTGTTATGTTAGCATTGTCTGATAAAAGTTCTGTAAAAGCTTATGTTTTGTACCTAACAATCTATTCCGTTTTTAAAATATCTGTAAATTCTCAAATACTGGAAAAGCAGCAGCAGATACAAAAGTGTCAGCTGCATGCTGCTATAGCTAACCTGAAGCAATGCCACAGAAATGAAGCCTTTTGAACTGAGAGAAACAGACTCCTCCAAACCCACTTCCATTGTTTGACTATTCAGGACACCCTTTTACACTGGCTCTCACTCAAAAGCCCATTCTTCAAGAAGACCCTGGTAAGCTGCTGGGCAGAAGAGGATGACAAAAAAAGAGAATACTTCGAGTGAGGAAGGGCTCTCCCACCGCAGAGATGGAAGAGGAAATGCTGTGTGGAGCAGCTACAAGCAGGAACTTTTTCAGACAATATCAACAGCAAGATTAGCACATTTTGCAGCCAAGAAAAATGCTAAATGCTGTCCCCTGGGACCAAGTCCTTGTCCCCTTTCCCTGGCTGCCCAACAGCCCTGTTCAGGCAGCAGTGAGCTGCCAGGGTTGTTTAACCAGTGCCTGCCCCCAAGAAGAAATATCCTGGGATCACAGTGGGAAGAGACAGTCCTTGAGCATCGAGCACTCGTCTGCACAAGGTATGGGCAGCAGTTTATCTTGAGACTGATGCCAGAACTAGAAATACCTCCTTTCCCTCACCTACTGTTTGGTACTAGGAGAGTCAGCCCTGGGAAAGACCTTAAACTGACAGCCGAATCCCAGGGAATATAACAGGGCCTTTGGGAGGCTGACACATCCCACAGTGTTCAAGGAAGCAGTGAGGAACCCTGAACTGCAGCTCTCACATCTTTTTCACAGAGAAGTGGGTGGCAGAAAGGATACTCAGAATTGCCTGACAAATTGCAACATGGTTGAAAAGAAAGCCCTCCATAGACTCAAGCACATTTACACTTCAAACAAGCAACCATTAAAACAAACAATCCCAAAATCAAATCTTGAACACCCATGGAAGCGAGCACATTGCCCAGGAAATGAGAGCACACTGCTGCCCAAGGTGATCAGAGGCTTCCCCAGCAGCTGCGTGGGGAAATTCTGGCAGGGCTTTCCTGCAGATTTGTCATTTCATCTCCCAAGATTAGCATCAGAGAACAGACCGCACTAGCAGTGTGGCACTTTCTGCTTCCCGGTTTGATCAGGGCGGTCACTTCTCAGCCCCTTCTTTTTATCTAATAACTGGTGGGCAGAGAACACGATACACATCAGCCTTGTAGAGCACTTCTAAACCCTATTTGTACCAGGAAAGGTGCCCCAGTTTCAGCTTTGGTATCTCTCTACAAAACTTCCTCAGTAAGAAATTCATGCTTGTTTATTCTTTGAATACCACTGGAGCTTATGGAAATAAATATTTTAATCTAATACATTATTTCTTTTTCTCCCTTCACATCCAATTTTCTCCTTTTAGCAAAGGAAAAGCAGTTTGTGAGACAATAAAATATAAGAACAAACAATACTTTAGAATTCAATGCAAAAAATTATGACCAAGGGAGCCATAAAACTAACTGTTAGAATTACCTTACAAGTGATTTCACGGCATTAAAGATATGTCCTCTTAAGTTATCTTAGCCAGTCCCAGGGACAGTTTATTCTAGGAAAAAAGGAACTAAAAATGACTGGCAATTGCATTCCTGTTACAAATACTGTGATTTTCATGTAGACAAGCCCCAGAAAACAGCTTCCTCCCTTTAACTTCCTTCTTTTGTTACAAATGGCACAACTTTTATATTTGACACTAGGTGGGTATCTCAAAGATTGGACCAAGCCTTTCAACATGGATTAGTCACCAACCTTATGAATTTATGCAGACTTTGGAAATGAAAACAAGCAACTCATAACATGAGCTAGCTCACTCACTTGCTGCCTCTTTTCAATCTTCAGTTTCATTCGGACCTGGATGCACTTTAAGGTGTATCTGTACAGATCCCATGAAGCAACCTGCATTTGGCGTTTGTGAAATGCACCCATCAAGTTGCCACAAAGGAAAATTACAGCATTGGCAAGGAGCTGCACGAGAAGAAAAATATTTACCTACTACAGGGCAGTCACTGATACTTCACCAACACACATATTAGTCCCATAAAACACAGTCAATCCCAGACCACGTCTCATTTCCTCTTACCCCATCCCATAACAAATCATTGTTGCTATTACCCAGGATGGACCTGGCAGATGCAATCTGACTTTCAGAGTCACAATAATGAAACAGAAAATGCTATGCTATCATTCAACATTTATTTGCAGGTCCAGTGTTTGGTTTGTGGAAAAGCAGTGCACAAACTGCTGCATCAGCATGCTGTGTGGAGCCTGGCACACAGGAGCTGGGGGGCTCCTGTTAATGAGCACGCCCTGGTGACGAGTGCTGGGGCCCTGAACTCCCAGGCTGCACTCCCAGCCCCTCTGACACCCCAGGGCAGCAGTGGCCCTTGTGATCCACCCTGTGGGCAGTGCCTGGTGGAGGTGGGTAGACCCACCTGAAGGAGAGCAAGTTGGGAAGAGTGACTGTGACTAAGCTAGGCATGTTTTTAACAGCTTAGTTTAAAAATTAATTTAACAGCCCTGATTTTTCCACTTAAACCAGAAAAACAAAATTGCCCTGTAGATTAAAAATTTGCAATTTTACAAAAAGCCTAAGGGATTTTGGGCCCAAGCTCCAAATCCATAAACTTGAAACATCAATGGAACTTTTCTTAATAGAATAGTTATGCCAAAAGCAAAGAGTAGCTTGACTAGAGTATTTCATTATGTAACCAAGCTATTTCCTTACCTGAAATGGAACGCGTTCCTTATTTCCTTCAGATGTTACACTTACCACAGTTAAAACAACAATATGGGAGACAGCAGAAACAACACTAATTATAACAGCACCTCTCATCCCAAAAGGTAGCATGGTATAAACTGTGAAGATTATGAAGAGAAAGAATGGCACCTTTGGAAAGAAAAAGAAAAAATAAGAAAGAATCACACATACATGTTATTAGGTAAATGCCAAAAATCACTACAGAAACAGAAGCAAAGCAGTGGGATTCTTACTCAATTTCAGGCTGAACAATTAGATATTGATGTTTCAAAAGACAGTTAAAACCATAAGGACACTGGTAGTTCTAAGAGTTTTGAGGGATTAACAGCTATGGGTTCATAGACAAGATGAGTTAAGGTGACATATCACCTATAATTTTTTGTCCTTGCCCTTTATTCTGAACTTATCCTTTACAGCTGGAGATGCACTTTGGATGCACTTTGTACTCACAAATCAGGAACAGTGTGTTACAAGGCTAGCAATACTGAATCAGATTTCTCACCTGTTGGAAGATATTTTTCTAATTTTAACATCACCCAGTCACATGTGCATATTTGCTTCATGTTTGATAAAACCAAAAATCCAACCAATACTTCCTGGTCCTCCCACAAGAGAATAACCTTTATTACCACTAACCACATATTTAGCTGCACACCTTTTATAAAATGCACAACTGAATGGCTCCAGATCAGTGGGAAGGTTTGTAAAACTTAAATTCATATTTATAGACTTGTTACTATTGTCAGCTTATATACATAGGGAAACTAACAGCCCTGATCAGAGGAATATATTGCAGCATTCCTGGCTCAGCTCCATCGCATCACAGCAACTAAATTGTGCCACTCCAGACAAGAGCTTCCTTCGAGGAAGTCTCAAGGTCCAGTCTGCCTTTAAATATTTTCCCAGAATAGACTGTCTGATTATTGCTGTCCCAGTCAAACTAACAGGCAAATAAAAGTTTGCTGTCTATATCTTACTACTTTAACTGGAGTAAAAACATTTTTTTCTGCCATATTTGCAACTCCCATCACACAACATTCTGAATGCTGTGTGATAGTTTTAGAAGCACAAGAAAAGGATGGACAAGCAAAAGCCATACCCCATATAAACAGTAGCTTTAATTAGTGATAAATTCATAATTTGAGATGAAATTCTGAAGTAAATCTATTCACTTTCAGAGTAGGGCGTCCTTATATTTTAGACTTAAAATCAATATGAATGAATTATTACCACATGACAGCACCACATTGGCTTGCAGCACTGAAAGCAGCAAAACCAAATCATGCTTTGTTACGTATTTGCATTTATAGTTAGGATCAACACATTTGGGGGTGGGGGGTGGTTCCTAAGGTAATAGCCACTTCCTTAAGTTAAAAAATACCAAACAGCAACTCTAAATGTACAGTGCTGGATCCAGGCCATAATACAAACCAGATTTGGGTTCTTTAACTGATAATTTATATCTTTCATTATTCAAATAAAGAAGGGAAGGGGCAGAGTTCATAAAACAAGATAAAAATTACTTAAAACTCTTCTGCTTGCATTATGAGATCTTAGGAGGAGTTTCCTACAAATTATGATATTTTTGGCTTCATGAAATCACCCATCTTCTGATCAGAGATAGCAAGCAATGAAGTTTAGCCACACCCAGCAATGCCAGGATGTGTCATTAATCCTTATTGTTCACTTCACCTCTCACACTGGCTTAAAAACCTGCTCCCTAGGGCACACCCAGCTCTGGAGTCCTTTATACATTTCTTGAACACTTCTCTGACCCAAATAAATTAACAAAGCAAGTATTATTAACAAAAAAAAAAAAAACAAAAACAAATCAGAGATGAATTAATAGTAATTAAGATTTAGTAAAAATCCTAAATAAAAATCCAATTTAATTAGAAAAATGCAATTCATCACTACAGATGCAATTCCCACATAGGTTTATGCAATTATCCAATTTTTTCACTGGAATACATTTTCACTATAATCCAGAACACCAACTAAAATAACTGCAACAAATCAGTGAAGCCAGTTTTTAGAGGTTAACCTAAATCTCAGAAGAGTTATAGCACAGTTACAATATCCTGAAAGACTGAAGCACAGAAAAACATCCACAGCTGACCACCAGCCCCATGCGAGTACCCGAATGAGCAGAGCATACCCACCTGCTCCCACAGCTGGCAGTCACTCCCTGTTTCAAAGAGGGAAACGTATCCCACGGTGAGGAAGCAGAGCCAGGCCACGAGGCCGAAGAGCGCCAGGCAGCGGCGGAGCAGGGACTCCATGCACAGCAGCAGGTACGTGAGCGCAAACACCGCCAGCGCCGCGCACACCGCCACCAGGAACGGCAGGTGGGAGCCAGCCTCCTGCAGGGGAAACAAGGGTCACAGCTGCCACAAATGTCCCCTTCAGAACAAGGAATAATGCAAATGTCCCCTCCAGAAAAAGGAATAATGCAAATGTCCCCTCCAGAAAAAGGAAAATCTATACTGCCCTGGAAACAGCTTGGACACCTTTGAAATAAGTTAACCTGCATTTTTAAGTAGACTAGCTGTGGCAGCATGAACACCTTCTGAATTCACATCTACAGAGCTAATATAATAAATACCATTATAGACAGTCAGGAAGGCAAGGTGCGAATGAGCTTCCTGCAAAGGCAAAACAAAGGGTTACAGCTGCTACAAATGTCCCCTTCAGAACAATGAAAGATGCATCTATACTGCCCTGGAAACAGCTTGGACACCTCGGAAATAAGTTCACCTGCATTTTTAAATAGACTAGCTGTGGCAGCATGAACACTTTCTGATATTCACACATACAGAGCTAATATAATAGATACTATTATACCCACTCATTCTACCCTGTCCCTCTTCTTCTAAGTTCTTCTAAGCCTTCCGGTGTTTACGTTTTTGTAATGGAGTTTCTCACGCACTTTTCAAGTAAATAATGATCCTTTTGCTTTCCTTTCTGGAGGAGGAGAAAATTGATGGACTGTTGGTTTGACCAGTGTAGTAGAGAGGCAGCAATTTCATCCCCCAATCCATGGTCACTTTTGAAAGTCAATAAATACAGGAGTTTGGAAATAAACTGCCCTCTTCTTGCTTTGGACATTTCATCTTGTGCGTGTCGTTCATTTCAGGTCCTACTGCAACACTACCCCAGTTCCACTGCTATTGTTTTCCAAAGCAGCTTAAAAGGCAAACCCCAAACCACTAAGTTCTAACTACACTGTGTCTATAATGCAGATATGTCCAAAGAAATGGATTTAGAGTTCAAACTTTGCTAAAGAGGAGTGTAACAGTGCTCTAAGTTTCATGGAAGATAAATTGTTAAAAACAGTGTTCCTGCTTTTCTTCCCTCCCTAAGAAAGAAAAGGCAAAAGGGATGCAAGTGCAATTGGTAAGATTTGATTTGCTGCTAAGGAGAGACTTGAAGACCCTTTATCATGAAGCTGTTTGGGAAGCAGAGTTAAAAGGCAATGAAGCATTATAACAGCTACTTTACTACCTTTTTACAATGTTATCTTTAAATCAACTCCTCTTCTTACCAGCTGTCAGTTGAGCTTGTACAACACCAAATTTCTTTACAAAAATCAAATTACACCACATAAAAAAAATCTTTAAGTTGCATCTTTTCTATGCCTATAGGATCACCGCTCTTCGTTAACTAAATATTGATTCCACTGATCACCCATTGTACTAGGAGGTTCCTATTGTGCTTTTATTAACAAAAAAAAAAAAAGAAAAATACTTTAAAAAAAGGAAATAACATCTGCAAATCTTTTAAGAAAAGAACCACCTCAGGAATAATCTGACGAAAAACCAACAAGTCACCATAATATGGGAAATGCAGGACATTTTAGCTTCTGTTCTTGCTCCTTCCTTAGCCCTTTTAATACTTACTATCATACGCTAGCATTCAATACAGATCAGATGTATAGAATGCAATACAATACATATGTACATACATACAATACAGATGTATAGAATAGAAAAACAATCCTTATAGTAATTGTGCAGGTGCCTGACAATCTCTCCTCTCTTCCCACCGTTTCAAAATCATACACAGTAATACATGCACGGTTCCTTGATATCTTTCAGCACTGCAACTTTGATACCATGAGGCTCAAAATATTACACAGCCAAAAAGATTCAGTGTGCTGACAGAGCGACTCCTTATCCTCTCTGCAAACACTGAACACACACAAAAGAAGTTTACTCACAGCAGTAACAAAGAAGATGATGATCAGAGTAGCCCAGAAGAGGATGGCAATGAAGAGCAGCAGCAGCAGGAGGGGATGCTGCTGGCTGGTGTAGCGGTACTTCTCATAGAGTGGGTCTGAGATCCTGCCCTCATCGCCCTCGTTGAAGAAGTATTTCCCTTTAGCTGGCATCTTCTCCCAGGCTGGCTGCTATTTCTGCCGTTTCTCTCAGTTCCCAGTGCACACAGTGACACAGCTGAAGCCACTGCTTCAAAGAGAAGTTTTGTCCTTTGGCTGCTGCCTCTGTGATCTTCAGGCACACCGAGTAACCCACGTTCTCTGGTTTTACATCTCATGAGCAGCAGCTTCAGATTCCCAATGCAATCAAAGGCAAGAATTAGCCTCCCCAAAACCACAGGCAATTCATCATCAGCACCAAGCATGAAGCTCCAGATCAACTTGCATTGGTGCTGACAGGTGTTTTTGACATGAGGCTTTTTTAATTATTACTTTGCAAGTCTCAAACTCCTTTCCATAAGCTTGAGCCTCACTTCCTTGGATGAACCCTGCAGAGAGACAGGATTAGTAAATTCATAGTTAATCATACACAATGTTCCCCAGGGGGGAGGGAATAAAAAGAGTTTATTCCTTAAACTTTCCTTGAACTTTCCACCTGCATGCTGTGGCCAGTGAGCAAGAGCAGCGCGCTGTGGTGGGTGGGAGCCCGGGAGCCTCGTGCGTGGGCAGCACTCGCCAAGGGCTGCTCTGCTCACCCTGCCCTGGCAGCTCAAACATTTCCATGTACAATTGTGCTACATGGGGCTTTTCCTTCTGAGCAAATGACACAGCTCCTGTGAGTGTGCTGGGGAACTGAATGCTCACAGCTCCTTGGAAGTTGTGTGCATCTGTGTGTGTGTGTATATAATCTTTAATCGCAATACACTTGGCATTCTTTCTCAAAACATGCATCTTAAAAATCAAGAAATCCTCTTTTATTAATTTCAGACTTTAATTAGGGCATAGAAAAATGAGAAAAGAATACAGCTGTCCAAGCCAAAATTCATTAAACTTTTTTTAAAGATATTAAGTATCTAGATCTGTAAATTTCATTCCACTTTAAGTGATACTGTTCCCAAAGCAATACATGTGTTCTGCTAACAATGAACATTAGGGAATAAACTGTATTGTTCATTTCTAATGACCAGTGTTTTTCAAATAGGTTCATTAATATAGTTCATTCAATGCCAAGAGCCATAAAAAAGAAGCACAGGGATGTGATGGAGGGAAGCATGAAAAACAGGATTTTGTAAGCCTTATTAAAACTTGATAACAGGACCACAGCTTCTTTGCCACTTGACTGCTGTCACCATGGTGCCCAAGGCCACTGCTCCAGGGAGAAAGAACCCACTAAACCTCACTTCTTTTTTTTTCCTCAGAAAAGCCAAACCCCAGCCAGTTACTTTCAAAAACCAAATGCTTAACTGCACACACGCATTCAGGCTGCTTTCACACTAAAAGCAGGAAAAAGTCTCAGAAACCATAGTGAGCAATTCTGCCTCTGGTAAATAGAACCAAACATTAACATCCTATCCAATTATTAATGATCAAGAAGGCAAAACCAGATATATCAACAGTGAGAGCGGATCAAAAAAAAAGTGTACTTTTGCAAAATAAGAAACTAGAACTTCTTTCCAGAGCATCCCCCAAACTTGGATTAATCACAAAAAACCCCCATATTGCATCACTCTTATTCAGTAATACCCAGAATAAACTGACATTTGTATTAAAATATAAATATCTATATATGTATAATAAGCAAATAAAATTGAATGTTTCCCATTTATAGTTAATGGTATACCTAATATCTCACCTGTACTGGTAATTACTGAGCTTTTCATCATAATTAAAATCCTTCCATTTTTCACTTTAAAAAATTCTTTTGGTGCTCACACCATTTGCATGTGCATAATAATGCTCTTGAAAAGAAGTGTGAATCTCAGAAAGTGTCCCACTGACACTTAAAGGAGATGAAGAAGAAATTGAAACATTTGCATCATGTTTTACTGCATTTTCCAAGTCAAAGGTAACTGCATTATTACTTCACTTGGGTGTAAGCCAGTTTTTCCTGAAGAAGAAACTCTCAGAAGGTGCACACGGGGCAAGTATTCCAATCTGAATTTGTCTTTCAGTAACAAAGACAACACACTCCAGGACAGTGGGGAGGTTTGGCCTCTGATGCAGCAGAGAGGCAGACAGCTCACGAAACATCCTGAGGAATTCCTTTACCATGGGGCTGGGGGTGCAGGAACTCACTCTGCCTGATGTGAACAACTGCATCAAAGAGATGACGGGCTTGCTGTCCTAGTTCCTTCTAAAAGTGTATTTCAAATCAAAAACAATGAAGATCTTCTTTAATATACTTGCAGAAATATGATTTTGATGGTAATTTTTATGATAAAGGTGTATTTTGAGAGGGAACTTTATTTTTCCAATTAGCAGAATCCATTTTCAAAAAACAACTATTAATTACTAAGCAATAATAAATTCACAATTATGTGGAACAAATTATCCTGTCTTGGGCTACTTTAATATTAAAATCCAGGAAAAATTACTTCACAGCTTGCTCTCTCTAATTTCTCCTGACTATGTCAACGAAAAAACAGTACCAAGAACTACATCTATTCTACAGGATTATACTGTGTGGCTGTGGCTCAGTTATCTGATGCTCAAAAAATGAAAAATGGGTGCAGTGTCAGCTTGGCACTCTCTCTGCATATTATTGAAGAGTTTTACAGGACAGTAGATTGAAGAGACATGTCTTTTCAATAGCCTAGGCCATTTTAATTAAAAAGAGATTGATATCTCATTGATTTGTTTCTTCCTGGCTGATCTCTGTAGATATGCACTGCAAGTAATTATGAATGACCCCTGGGTCATACAATTTTCTTCTCAGAACTCTACCAGGCAAAGAAACTCCCCAACAGTCCTTTATTGATTTACCAAGAACCCATAATGCACCACATAAATGCTACTTTGAGGTGAATCATTCCACTCCAAATTACTTTCAATTTGCATCCCATGCCCCACTGCCACTACCACCTCCTTTTTTAAAAGTCCCCACTTTTTGTATCTTTCCTCCTTTGAATTTTTTCCATCAACCTTCTGGAAATGTAGAAAGTAGATTTGAGAGAGAGAAAAAGATTCTATCATGGGTGGTATCACACACTGGGAAAAAGATCAACTCACCATGCTTCTCTTTATACATTTAAGGATCATGTGAGCACTGTGCACCACAGCATCACTTTTACTCTTTCTGGTCATTGTACCTGGAAGTTTTGCTGTTTTGACACACCAGGAGAGGTGTAACCCTGAAAGAGCAACAGGCCACAAAAACCAAAGAACACTCCCAGAAGCACCAGTGGCAAACACACTGAGCCAAATAGGAACTGGATCTGGGCTGTTGCCATAAAGCCACAGAGCTCTGATCAGCAGCTTATCAGGAAAAAGTCTCATTTCTTTAGAAGTCTTCATTGTGTTTGGATGAAAAAGAGAAGGAATTGTCACCCAGGTCAGGACCTATAAGAAGCAGCCCTGGCACTGAGGGTTAGAAACTGCACTGAGAGCCTCTGGGAGCAGCCACCAAACACACCAATATGATTCAGTCACATCTGTGTGAGCTCCATAGCCATTTGCCAGCCAATTAACATGAAGAATTTTTCCCCAGTGAATATGTAAGAACACTGGACATGTGAGAGGTATAAAAAAAAAATGGACAACAGAATACCTTCCAGAAAATGAACCAAAACATCTATTACCTTCCAAATCTACTGTGTTTCAGTGGGAACAAGAATGTGCTCAGATTCAGCACCAGAACCTCTTCTAGGCAAGTGCTGGGCAAGACCTGACAAAACACAGCCACCTTTCACCTGCAACCAAAAAAGACAACATTTCTATCTCCCACAAATCTAGGTATTGTCCTGTGCTTTCCTCCCCTTAGATGGAAACTTTCAAGCACTGCTAAACTCTCCAGTCTCCTACTGACACAAAAATACAAAAAGCAATTATTATTTCATTAGCCTACCAGGCTTGGACTGAGACTCTTTTATTCTCCCATTGCTAGTTAAAACTGTCCACCAGGCTTTTTGTCAATCCACCCATTTCCAGAAGACCTGGCTGGAGACACACACCTTTTCTGAAGGCTCAACAGCCACAGAATAGCATGGTCTGTACAGAGCCTGTAGAGCCCAGGTGTTGTAAAGAAACACATACCAGCCCAAGGGTGTTGATGTATTTCAGCCCCTTCCTCCCCAGAGATTGTCTGCATGGAGCAGTGTGAGGGCAGCTGGGGCAGGGAAAAAGGGGAGAGAATCCAAGACATGGAGAGAGCAGAGCACAAAGTCACATCCCACATCCCATCTCTGGAGCTCTGGCACAAAGAGCAGCCTCCCCTCAGCACTGCACGGTGGGGCAACAGAAAGAATGACAGAAGTCAGACTGAAAACAACAGAACAGCTCTTGGGATGGCTTCTTTCACTCTCTGCACCCTCCTGCCACCCTCTCACTCACACACCAGGCTGGACAGACAGCCAGCGATCACATCCTATTCCCTCTCTCAGGAGAATTATTCACAGCAGCTCCTGACCAAGTTAAAGCCTTTCCAAACATAATCCAAGTATGTTGGAGTTCTGTTTTTAATTTCAAAGCTCCTGATATATTCACAAGTGAACTCACAGTAACCATCTGGATAACTTATTTTTTCTCTTAGCTGTTCATTTGCCCAGAGCTCAAGACCTGATCACCCAGAGCTGCCTGGTTACCAAAGAGCAGTGTCTGAAATATTAAAACAAGCTCTAATAGCAAGAACCAAATGAATCTATGCAAATTGTCTTATTCCTCTCAAAAACTTCTGTATAAAAGAAAGCAGAAACACTTTTTTCATCTTTAACTGATACAGAACCAGACAAACAGTACAGTTTTGATTTCCATTCCATCTTTTGTTTCACACAAATAACAACAATGTTTCTGAAATTACTTTAGCAATTTCCAAGACAAGAATGATTGCTGACTGTAATTACCCATTAGCAGATCCTAAAAGGGAATCAGGAATCTATAAACATGCAATAGAATAATTGAAGGAGATTAGTGGATGAATTATGAATCTCAGGCAAAAATAATCTCAGTCTAGCGGACTCCATGACTAGTTCAGTCTAGGAAATGAAATTCAGCAATACAAACACACACCACAGGAAATACCATTCATGTTGAAGACAACACTTCTTCCTTTCAGACTTTGCTTTCAAACACTACCCTGCAGCCACTTTAGCTTCTTCTACCCATGCAAAAGTACCGAGTGGAGAGCAGGTGTGCTTTCAATGATCTGTCTGCTAGCAGTGAGTTTCTTTACAAAGGTGAACCTTTTTTAATACATATTTTGAAGTTTTCATGTGAAATTTCACCTTCCTTAGTTACATTTAATTGTTGAAGGGCTTCTTCTGCAATACAGAAAAAAAAATCTTACTTACGTTCACCTTCTATTTTCTCAAAAAGTGAGCATACCCACTTCAACACATCAGCACCCAGAACTATATTTACATTAAAACACTAAATCAATACAAAATTAGTCCGTCATTTTTAAAAAATTGACACATCAGAGTAATCAGTGACACTACATCACTTAGGGTTTGCCCTTGAACGTTGAAAGCCACAGCAATGATAGTGCTGAATGAGCTGCAAAGAAAGCATGGAAACTGAACTTTTAAATTTACATTCTTATTTCAGTCGATTGCTTCTTCTCATAATGTTTGCTCTCCAGTGCTATTTAAAGTAGGAATAAGTAACAAGTTGTTTCATTTGGAAAGAGTTTTTCAGTCTCCTGTACAAGTGGAAGATGTGAAATAACAGAGGCTGTGGTTTCATAAGCACCACCAGCCAGCCCTGGCCAGGCAGAGGAGGAGGAGGAGGAAGAGGAGGAGGAGGAGGAGGAGGAGGAGCTCTCACCCAGCCAGAGCCCCCATCCTGCACCAAGCTCCTGCTGGGCTCTCTGCAGAGCCCACTCACCGAACACAGCATGGAGAGCCAGTTTTGGCAGGACACTTCCCTCTGGGGTGGGGGAGTGCAGCAGGTAGCAGAGGCACAGATGAGCTCCTCAGCTGGCCCTGGGTTTGGAAAGGAAGAGCAAACCACAAGTAGGAAAGCAAGCACAGCAGTGAGCTCTTAAACTGACCCATCACTTCTCACAGGTCCACAGCCTAAGGAAAGAACATGAATACCACTGCTAAAGCTGGGGGCAGGGGGAGGGTGCTTGTTGCTCATTTTTAAATACCACTGTTATTACAGGATGTGCTTTGAAGAAAAAGATTACAGTCACAGAAAGAAATCTCTGTGCTACTGATCCAGGTAGGACAGAAAATGGTGACAGAATATGGTTCAGAAAACCTTTTGGTAATTTAAGAGCTCACAAACCAAGTCAGTAGAACACAAAGAAGAGTCCATATAACCAGACTGCTGCAACTGAACTACACAGGAGAGTTTACTACTGTTCTAAGGAACTTTTTACTGAGAAAACACATAATGGTTCAACCAACAAATCTATTAAGCCTTATAATTAAGTGCTGGGTCTGGCTCAGCAGGGTGGGGGAGGAAGCAGCCCTTTTATAATACTGGTTTTCATAAGCAGCAAACTCCGGGGTGTAAAAAGAGACATCACACCAGAAGGGAATTGAGCTGTGCTTTGCATCTTTCAAAACCAAGGTGTGTGATTATTTCTTGACTTCCTGACCCCCTGTCAGATCTTACAGATAGACTTTTTGACTTTAGCTGATCTAAACTTGAACTTACCACTGCAAAAGTCAATATTCCCCTTACACTTTCAGTTTTCATATCTATTTAAAATTCATGTCTTTGAACACAGTGTCCTCAGAAGCCAGAATAGCTTTTCACTGAGTAATTTTAGTTTAGTTATATCAAAAGCAGTGTGCTTGTGCCATTACTCAAAGTACTAAGACCTCTAATATTGAGCTATATAAACTGCAGGAAAAAAAACCCTGAAACACAGACCATTAAACTTCAACACCATGCAGAAAAATATTTTCAGCTAAGACAGGAACAGGGACAGAGTCTCTGTGTGTCTAAGCCCCAGTAATTTCTACAAGAATATCCCTGATTTTCACAGAAAGTAAAACTCCTGACATTTTCAGAGGATCTATTTTTTAAGGAAATAAAAAAAAGCATCACACTAGGTAATACTGAGCCTTTACTGAAATCAGCAATGAAACAAAAATTCAAGAAAGGTGAACATTTTTTTTTTCAGGCATTACCAAATTATAACAATAGTATAACAAATTATAACAAATAGCAAACAAAAAGCTCAGGCTGACAAGATTTCTAAGCTCAATATAGTTCATTACACCTAGAGTGAATTCTCTGTCACCTGTTTGGCAAAATTTTGAATATGCCTCAGATAATCTATTTCAGTAAAGCAGTCAAGAAGCAGAGATGTGGCAGGGTCAGACTACCAAGTTGTAACTGGAATCTTCTATCACTAGATACAACAGATGTGCAAAAAGAAAAAATTACAAAATATTTTAAAAAATCACTGTGAAAAAGAGTGTAATGGGCATAATACATTGCTCTTTTTATTTTTTTTTTCTTTTTTTTCTGTCCCACAAAGTTATTTGAGGGGAATGCACAGTTCAGTACAGAAACCCAATGCTATTTACCCATGTCTAGGGTAGATAGTGTATTTGCACAGAGCAGGTGCAATCACAATATGGCAGGGACAGGGCAGGAAAAAGATAACACCTGCCCTGAGTAAGATAAGAAATCACTTCCCATTTCAGTCAGGTCCATCTAAAACCAGTGAAAGAGAGAAGGAGGCTCCTCTCTCTCCTCCCTACAATATTCCCACCCCACTGAAGTGAACAGAAACACAAACTGGCATCTGAAATTCAAACAATGCATTGATATCAACAACAACTTTGGCTTCCTTGATTTTTCTTTTTGTCTCAGGCTAATTTTTACAGAGCCAAGTATTTTTCTTAAATGTTTTTGCCAAACATAGTGTTGTTTCTAGCTGAATTTCTGCTCACTCGCCTCTTCCCTAACAACCTCATCTCTCCCAGGCCGAGAGATGGACACAGAAAGAATGTGACTGTGCCTCAGTACCTGGAGCAGGGCACTGCAGGGTGGTGCTGCAGCACAAATATTTTTGTTAATGTATACAATGTCCTTTACTAAAGCAAAGCCTTCATACAATTTAAGGAAGAAGGGGGAAGGTAAGGAGACAGAAATAATGACAATAAATCCAATCCCCTTTTATTTAATGACTAGTACTTCAATACTAAGTCCTACCAAATACCTGTTTTAAAAATCTTATTTCTCTATACTATTGAGTACAGGGAAATTTTAATGTTCCCCAAAACTAATCATGCAACATTTGTTACACCACCACATCCGTACTTCACAGCCAAATAAACTAAAAGTAACACTTGCAATAAGGAAGTTCCCTCCCTTGGAGGTTAAATACTAAAAACACCACCAAAGAGACAGACTTTTCTGATGGAAGCATTGTTTCTAGAGGCATACCCTACCTCAGGACACAAAGCTGTCAAACACCCACAACTCTTTTTAAAAAACTGTTCCAAAATGCAGTACCTGGTTTTGGAAAGGTCCTTGGTGGAGTCATTCTGAAATAAAACAATAATAAAGGACTGAAAACCTCAGAAATCTTCTCTTTTCAGTCTCACTTGACAGCAACACACTAAAAAATTGTTAGGAGTTGCACACATATTTTTCATTGACCCAGACAAAGGGCCACAGGAGCCAAGCATTCACAAGGGCCTGGTCAGGTGCTTTGGATCACAAAGAGGGAACCATGGGAAGCAGTGAGAGCTGTCCAGTGACAGCCAACATGCCTCATGGAATTTTGTTTCCACACTAAGTTCTGATTGTCTACTAAGATACTAAAATGTCTGAACACAGATCTAATCACTATCACTCTTCTTGTTTCATCTTATCTTTCATCTTGCCATTTCCAAAGATTGTTTGACAGCCATCCCCAATGCCAAGAGGCCACTTGCACTATGCAAAGCACTGACTCACCAGGGGAAACGGGGATATCTCACCTGGCACAGCTAAAACAAAGCAGGCACTTGCAAATTAAATTCTCCTGAAGCAGCTTTATCCTTTGGATTTGCTGATACTAAAGCCAGTTAATGAGTATTAAAGCAGAACTAGTTAATTCCAGACCTGAAATAATACCACAGACATGGCAAATCTTCAGGATGTGGCAGAAGTCACTTCCCAAAAGAGCCTGCAGCTGGTGCCTCACAGCCCCAGGAGGTTTACAGGAGAACCTTCCAAACTGAGGCATCTCTAACGCTGAGTGAAGGCTGCCCTGCTCAGTGCCCAGCCAGCCCCAGGGCTGGGAGTTCACCCACCCCAGCAGCACTGGGAAAGCATTTCCACCTCATCTCCACCTGCACTGCAGTGCTGAGCTGTGCACAGCAGACTATCCAGGCTTTTATTTACTGGGACCACTGCTAACAAACCCATGCTTGTTGTTTGCTTACCATTACAGGACACAGGATTCATTGGCAAAATCCATATTTCTCCACTCCATCATGGTCTGTTCCATCGTTTTCAAATTCCTACAGAAGAGTGAGTGCAGCCCACCCAGGTTAAATACTTGACACTAAATCTTTTGATGTACCACACGTGGGAGCCTGCAACAAGACAGGGAATCTTTACTCCAAGGACCACTGTAGGCATTAGTAATGCTTTATTTCTTCCCTTCATAGTTAAAGGAAGAATAATCTACTCCATCTCCATCATACATTTTATGAACCTTTACTCAGACAATCAGCAGAAGAAAAAGTATTTAGCTGTATTGTGACATGAATATAACCTGATTGAAACAATCACAGCTGGAAATTTCTGAGAAGAAGGCTCAAGAGTGATGAGAGGCACTGTCTTTATGCTAACTGATCCCAACATTTTTTCAAGCAAGGCCTGCATGACAGCAAAGGGAACTCTGCTAAAAATAGGATAAGAATGTTTAACTAACTTTCACAGCATCATAGGTAATGAAAGTTCTACTTTTCCAGTAAGTTTTGTTACACATAAGATCAAATAGCAGCAATTTTAAAAAAAGACACACCATGAAGGGTAACTTAAATTTAAAACTATATAATTCAAAACCATTTAAAATATTGCAGATCAGCAAATATGACAATATGGCAGGAAAGCAGCTGGAAAAAAACCCCAAAAGCACACCAGGAAAACATTCCTTCCCTGGACCTTGTAACTCTGGATAAAGACTTGTCTAGTGCTTGTGTGGAAATGAAGAGATTCTGACACTAAGTTTGCTTGTCTTGGAGTACCAAAGGGCAGAAGTGCATATTCCTAGGATGCTGTGAGCAGAAAATTGTGTCTCCATTTAGATAGATGACAAAGACATGGTTGGGTATCATCCTTGAAGCCAGTGGACCAGGTATCTGGTAGGGGAATTCATATCACACATAACAGCTCCTGGCTTTGTCTCACTCTCTTCCTGCTTTATCCTCTTCATACACATTCTGGGAACAGCTCTTCAGATGTGAGAAAATGCCAAAGAAGTTCAACACCTCAGCACAGTACCAGGCTCTGGCAGGAGCCCTGGCTCCTCACTGTTCCTTGTTGGAATCCAGTGCACGCTCACCAGGGGCACAAACCAAGAGGAGTAAATGGTTACACAGAAATGTTGAACAGTGACCCAAAGAGAGGCCCAGAGCAGGAAATCAGAATTAAGATAGCACTGAGGAGCCTGATTCAAGTGAAATAGCTGTGCTGGGAAGAGACAGTATCAGCATCAACTTCACTGCTCATCCCAAAGCTCTGTCCCTGGGGATCCACTCTGGAAAGCAGAAGGCAAAGGAAACTGCCAAATAATCAGCATAAAATTAGAGTGGATGCAAAGTATTGTTACACAAAAAGAATTGAAGTAAATCTACTGCCATTTTCTGTTAATTTTTGCTAAAATATACAAACTACTTGAACCAGCACTCAAAACAGGCACTACACTCTGTCACAGTGGGTTAAATGTCCAGCCCACACCTAAGTCCTGGGACAGCTGTGGCCATTTCCATTAGATTTTGGCCAGGAGTTAGCTGTACCTAGCCAAGATCTACATGCATCAGCATTCACAAAAGTTGGGTGAAAGATGGAAAAGATTGTTATGTAAAAGGTCAAAACCCTGACAAAGGCTTTTGGGAACCTTGGAGAGAGATGAGAAGAAAAGCCACAAGAGATCTCAGAGAATTCATCTGAAAAGGCAGATGTGAATCTGCTGTGTCTGTGCATGCGTGACAGCAGATAAAAATTAAACTTTGTTAAACCTGTTACATGTACAATTTGGAATGCCCAAAAGAGCTGCTGCTTTACTTTCACTGTGTCACATATCCAGCACTAAGGATGAGTCTCTGATAATCACAAGAGATACCTTGTGTTCCTTTGAAATGGACCTGTGTCATCTGGAGAGCAGCACATGGGGAGGATGCTGAATAGTTAGAGCATCCCAGAAATATCAGAGTGCTTTTAGAAAAAAAAAAACTGTGACAGTTTTTAAAAATCACCCCATGCTTATGAAGGTGCTTAGTTGTAATTCATACTTATAACACACCTTAGAGAATTACAATGTGATTTGGAGAATTAATGTAATGACTATACCAAGCTGACAAAGTTTCACTGACTTTGACTTTTTTTTTTAAATTTTTTAAATCTATGTCTAAAAGCATTATTTTGTCCAGAGCCCTCAATAAACAGTTATATGCAAGATTCCTTTCAGTTACAGAGGGATGAAGGTGCTGCTCCCTAGAAGTGTCCACAGGATCAGATCCTGGGGATATTCCTGTCCTACACAGACATTATAAACAAAGATAATGCACAGGAGAAATACTTCACATCAAAATGTAAAGAGAAGAGAGTTAAAAAAGAAAAAGGTTCTCTGTGTTTGTAACTGAAGTTCCTCAGAGGCACAGACCAGTCTGCTGATAAGCAGCAAGTTTCCGGCAGTAAAGTGATACACAAAGTACTTGGAGCCAATTTTTGATCGGCAAGACAGACAAGCCTCTCTGCATTCAGCACTCACCACAGGCACCTATTTCCCTAGCAACAGCTTGTGGGGCGCTTTCATTTTGACTGAAGAACATTTAACCAGTTACATTATGAGCCCTGCACCTTGCTGCTACAGCAGCAGTTGCCTTTCACACCTACCAAATTGTTCTTTGTGTGGCATTGAGCTGCTGGATCAATGCAGCACCTGCAGCACAGATTTGCTTTACCATGTTTTGGTGGTTTGGGGTTTTTTGGTTTTTTAACTTTCTGAACTTTATCAAGCTAAAACTGGTCAAAAGTGGAAAAAAACCCTCAAAACTTTACAGTATTAAAAAAGGTAACTTAGTTACTTTGTAGCAACCCTATTACTTTCCAGATGTTTCCTTTGTTTGAAGTCTGGAGTATTAGAATACAGAGAAGTACACAACTACAGTAGTGTATGTAACAAATACAGTCCTTGATTAATGTTAGGGAGACTTAAATCAACCAAAGGAGACAGAAAATGTACCAAAATAATAATGCAACATCAACTATTCACCATCAGATTAAATGGCATAGTGAGGGGTTTTTTTAAGTGCCAACAACTGAGAAATTACAATCCAGGAAGTAACCATTCAAAACTAAGAACAAGCAATATCTTTCAATGAAAATGTAATTGAGCTACACAACTCATCCATCCCAAGTTTATCTTTAGATGCTGAGGAAGGAAAAAACAAATTTTCATGAATACTATGCCCCAACAAAATACAAACTACTAATGGCCATAAGCCATAGCCTAAAGATCCAACCTCAGGTAGTTTACTAAAGACAGCCATGATTCACAGAGCTTGCATTGAGCACAGAGCCCCAAGGAAAAAGCCAGCAGCTACACACAAGGAAAGTGCTCAACCAAAACCCATGTATGAAGCACGTCAGGAGCAGGTCTGGGAAGAGGAGCCAGAGTTGAGAGTTCACTGGTCAATTCCTCCCTGGTACATCAGGGAGCTCCTGTAGAAGCACAAATCACCCATTTAATTAGTGTCAGCCATTCAAAATTACTTCTAACTCTCACTGAAGTTGTTCAGCACAATTTAAGAGCAGGCCTGAGAGTCAACTATTGCCAAAAGCACAAGAACATTATTTCAATAACCACATCCTGTAGTTAAAACACAGTAAATTCCAGAGCTATTTTCCTCCCTTGTAATCCGATATTTCCATCTTGTGAAAATACAAATTCTCAAAATCTTCTGAAGCCCTTAGCCCCTGTGTGAGAAGGACAGCTAATGTGTTTAAAGGAAAGAACTCAAATTCATTTCTTTCCTCTCTCCTATGGATTTGCTCCTGGCAGACTCCAAGTGTGTGGTACCCCCTTTCTTCTCTCCTGAAGGAACTGACCTAATACCAATATCCAACCACAAAAGGTGCAAACAAAATAAACGAATACTCACAAGACATTTTAGGAATATTTCCAAGGAATAGTTCCAAGCTTATAAGATGCAGATAATTTTGGGCTATAAAAAGTTATTGTAGCAAACATCTTTGCTGGCACTTAAATATTTGCTGGACTTTATTCTCATGCTTCCAGAAACATATAATTCCTGGAGGAGAATGTCTGTTCAGCTGTGGCAGGAAGCACAATGCTGGGCTTTAAATATCACATAAAATAATAATTAAGTTATTGTGTAATAGCATTATATTTTCAAAAATAAATATATAATTAGATAAGAATGCATAATGTTAAGGATAGCAGAATGCCCATGCTTCAGCTCCCACTGTCAGACATGGTGGTTACAGAAACAACACAGCAACCAGAGCTGTAAATTCACTCACAGAACCTCCGGGGATCCCTTAACACCAGCTTTTCAGCAGCAAATGGAATCAGCCCCTCTGAGCAATGGTGTGACAGAAGAGGGGATGGAATCACGAGGTTCCTTTCATCCCTGTCACGTGGCTGAAACCCCAGCAGTGTTTCTGAGGTGCAGCTGTGGCTGACACTGCCTTATTGCCCAGGTACAGCTGGGTACCTGCCCGAGCAGCACACCTGACCCACAGGGGAGCCCACGTGTGGAACAGGAGGTGTCTGGGATGTGCTCAGCTGCAAACAGCTTCACACCTACTCATAAATCACCATCCTCCCTACACACAGGGTTTAGGTCAGTTTAATGAACAGAAACAGGAAGTTTTGCTATTCATTTTAAAGAAATAAAATTATCACAGATCCTGCTTCTGGCTCCACAACTGGGGTGTCTACAGTAATATTTGCTCAACAAGTTTCTCCTCCTCTTCCCTCTTCCTCCCCACCACTTATTCCTATCTTGCTGCCACACCATTCTTTCAGTATGTGCATGTCACTGTTTCTAGGACTACAGATCAACACAAAAATAACCATTTGTCTCTCCTAGGTTTTGCTCCTTTCTGCCCAAGAGGCAGACAGGGACAGTGATGGTGCACAGCAGCTTGGAGGGCAGCTCAGCCAGCACAGCTGAGAGCAGATGGCTGCAGAGCAGAGGCAGAACAACGAGGTGACAGCAGGAATGTGCTCCTCAGCCCAAGTCAGAGGGAGGAAGTGTGCTCCCACATGTGCCCCAAGATGAGGAACAGCCCAGAGAGATGCTAGGCAAGAGCCAGGAACAGAAGAGATCAGCTCCTCAGG